ACCCACCCACCACCAAACCACGCACACCACCACCGGAAGGACTTCACACAGACACACCAGCACCAGCATCCCCAGCAGCATCCTCAGCAGCAGCACCGCCGCCACCGCGCACCCAGGCGCCCTCCCCGGTTTCCCCTCACCTGAAGTGGAAGGAGGGGTCCTCCTGGGCCAGCTTGATCAGGCCGTTGGTCATCTTGTCTAGGTCGCCCTTGGTCTTTGGCTCAATGGCCACCTGGGGGACAGGAGGGCGGGTGGGGGGAGGGGGAGGCAGAGGAGGGGGTGAGGTGGGCAGGGAGACAGGGCAGGGAGGGGTGAGGTGAGGAGGGCGGCAGGCAAGGGGTGGCTGGGGGCAGGGGAGGGCGTCCAGCAGCGTTGCGCTGCACGGCGCCTGCCAGCCGCGGCCCCCTCCCTCCAAATGCGCGTCCCGGGCATGTACTGCATATGGTACCGTATACAGTACCGCATATGGTACCACCTCCAGTACCACCGCCCACCCACCTTGATCACGGGGTCGGGGAACTCCATGCGCTCCAGCATGACGGGATACTTCTCGTCGCACAGCGTGTCGCCCGTGACCACGTCCTTGAGGCCCGCCACCGCGATGATGTCGCCCGCCCGCGCCTCCTTCACATCCTCCCGGCTGTTGGCGTGCATCTGCATCAGGCGCCCCACCCGCTCCTTCTTGCCCTTGGCGGCGGACAGCACGTAGGAGCCCGACTGCGCGGGCAGGAGGTGGAGGGGGCAGGAGGGCGAGCAGGGGGCGTCAAGGGGCGAATGTGAGGTGGCGGCCGGTGGGCAGCCAGGCGCCTGCGCGCCGGGGCACAGGCTGGGAGGGCAGCCTGCCGCTGCCAGCCCCAGGCTGCCGCCCTGCAGCGCACCACGCCCGACCCCCAACTGTTTGTGCTGTTTGCTGCCCGGCGCAGCCTGCCGCCGCCGGTACCATAAGTGCGCCTGGGCTCACCTCCAGCACGCCTGAGTACACGCGCACAAAGGTGAGGGAGCCGACAAAGGGGTCGGTCATGATCTTGAAGGCCAGGCCCGAGAAGGGCTCGTCGTCGTTCGACTTGCGCGTCATCTCCTGCAGGGGGGCGGGGACGGGGTGGGGAGGCAGGAGGCAGGGGTGCGTGAGGAGGCACGCCAACCAACCTCTCCGCAGACTTGCACCCCGCAGACTTGCACCCCCCCACCCACACACACGACACAAACACGCCCCACCCACGACACGCCAGCCAGGCCCCCGCCGCACCTTCTCGGCGTCGTCGATGTCGGAGCCGCGCACGTCCGGCAGGTCTGTGGGGGCGGGCAGGTAGTCCACCACGGCGTCCAGCAGCGGCTGCACGCCCTTGTTCTTGAACGCGGTGCCGCACGTCATGGGCACAAACTTGCCCGCGATGGTGCCCGAGCGGATGAGGCGCCGGATGGTGGCCTCATCCGGCAGCTCGCCCTGCGGGGGTGAGGGGGGTGCAGGAGGTGCGGGGCGTTGTGGGGCAGGGAGTGCGGGAGGTTGTGGGACAGGGAGTGCTGGTGGGGGGGGCACCTCCAGCCCAGAGGCCGGCAGGAGCGCCCCAAGCACAGACACAGGCGGTAGCCGGCGGCAGCAGCAGCGGCAGCTGCCGTGGTGTCCCCCGAGCCCGCCCCCCGCCACCCCCGCGGGCCAGGCCAGGTATCCCATCACCCCGCTCACGTCCAGGTATCCCATCATCACGTCGTCGTCCAGCTCCGCCACCTGCTCGATCAGCTTCTCGCGGTACTCTGCCGCCAGCTCAGCCATGTCGGCGGGGATCTCCACCTCGTCAAACTTGGCGCCCAGCTCCTGCGAGAGGGGAGAGGCAGAGGCAGGCAGAGCAGGCGGGGCAAGGTGGGGTGTGAGGAGCGCGGTGGGGCGCAGGGACGGGGAGCGCAGCATGCGGCGTGCAGCCTGCAGGGCGCAGGCTGCAGGGATGCCGGCTGGAGCATGCGCATGCACGCCAGGCCCTCCCAAGTCCGCGCCCATCCAGGCCCTTCCCGTGCTGCAGCCCGCGCCGCCAGGAGCCTGCCGCCCCCTCACCTCCCCATTCCAGATCAGCGCCTTCATCTTCACCAGGTCCACCAGCCCCTGGAAGCTGTCCTCCTGGCCGATGGGCAGCTGGATGACCAGCGGGTTGGCGCCCAGGTTCTTGATGACCTGGCGGGAGCGGGAGGAAAGAACGGGAGGAAAGGTTGGTGGGCAGGGCTGGGAGGGATGATGGAGTGTGTATTTATTTGGAGGGCGGGAGGTGCTCCGCCTGCTGACCGGAACGCTGCCGCCCCGGCCTCCGGCCACGTGCTGCTCGGTGCCTGCGCCTGCGCCCGCGGCCGCGCCCGACCCCCGCCACATCCCAGCCGCATCCGCAGGCCCTGGCCACCAAGCGCCGCGGGCCCCGGCAGCCAGCCGGCCACCCTCCACAGCCAGCCAGCCAGCCCATCATCATCCCATCACCAGCCCCCTCCGGCAGCCGCCGGCCAGCTGCCGCCGACACCGCCGACGCAACCGCCGCCACCCACCATGTCGCGCGTGCGGTAGAAGTTGGCGCCCATGCGGTCCATCTTGTTGACGAAGCAGATGCGGGGCACGCCGTACTTGTCCGCCTGGCGCCACACAGTCTCCGACTGAGGCTCCACGCCCGCCACCGAGTCAAACACCGCCACCGCGCCGTCGAGCACGCGCAGCGCGCGCTCCACCTGCGGCCCCAGGAAACGACGGCGAGGAGGGAGGCTCAGCTGTGCTGTGCTGGGCAGCGCTGCGCTGCGCAGCGGAGGCGTGGTGGGCCGGCCAGGCGCTCCCTGCCTATGGAGCGCCTGTGCTGCCTGCGATCCGAGCCCGGCGCGAGGGCCCAGCCCACCCCCCTCCCTCCCCTCCCTCCCAGGCTGGAGGCTAGAGCGCGCCTCCCCGACGGGCCAGGCGGAGGGCGGGAGGTGGAAAGCGGGAGGTGGAAGGCGGGAGGTGGAAAGCGGGGTGTGGAAGGCGGGAGGTGGACAGCGGGGGCGCACCTCCAGCGTGAAGTCCACGTGGCCGGGGGTGTCGATGATGTTGATGCGGTGGTCGTTCCAGGAGCAGGTGGTGGCGGCAGAGGTGATGGTGATCCCCCGCTCCTGCTCCTGCTCCATCCAGTCCATGGTGGCGGTGCCCTCGTGCACCTCACCGATCTTGTACGACTTGCCTGCAGGGCGGCGGCGAGGGGGGCAGGGAGGGGAGGTGATGGGTGCATTGAAACTGAGGCGGGAGAGCAGGGATGCGGAGGCGCCCGGCTGCGTGTGCGAGGCGCTGGGCTGGGCTGGCCACGCGCGGAGCCGCCGGACGCTGCCTGCCGGCCTGACGCTGCCTGACCGGCTGCTGGTGCCTGCCTGCCTGCTGCCTTGCTGCCAGGCCGCCGTACGGGGCCCAGCCCACACTCTGCGGGAGCGCTCCCCTGCCCAGGCGCCGGCCACCCACCAGTGTAGTACAGAACGCGCTCGGTGGTTGTGGTCTTGCCGGCGTCGATGTGCGCCATGATACCGATGTTGCGGTACATGTGGAGCGGCACCTCGCGCTTGCCTGTGGAACGGAGGAGGCAGGCAATAGCGCAAGGTGAGGTGCAGGTTGAGGCGCGCTGGCGGCGGCGGCACCACACAGGCACCACCGGGCGCTGCTCCGGCTGCGCGGCGCGAATGTTTGTGGGCTGCTGGGCTGGCGCAGGCGGCGCTGGGAGGGCAGGCACGCCGCCTGCGCTCACCTGCCATGGCCTGCACCAGCAGCGACTGTCCACGGCGGCTGGAGCTGCGGTGGGCGGTCGCCCGCAGGGGAGAAGCACCCTGCACACGCAATGGAAGAAGCTTGGGCGGGAATGCGGCAGCAGGGTGACGGGCATGTGGTGGAGCACCACAGGCTGATATGCAAACCCACCTGGGACGCCTTGCTACCGCTCTTCAGGCCATTGTAGGACGGAAGCTGGGCGGTGGGCCGGAAAGCGGCACCGCGGCGAGCCGCCGAGCCGGTGCGGCTGGCCACGCCGCCGCACTGTGCAGCAGTGCCGCACACAGCCTGAGTCGCCATGGTGATGGGTGAGAGGGCGGTGGCGGGCCGCCCGAGTTGCCTTCATCCTGATGGGCCGGCCGGCCAGGGCGCAGCACAGCAGGCTCCATGCAGAGCCGTCAGTTCCTGGGCCACCGCCGAGACTGCCAATCGTGCACTAGCATTGGCCCGATATCCCTTGCAGCCCCACCGCATTCTCTAGCCCGCCCCTTGTCATGCGGCCGCTGGCGAGCCTGCGGCTACAGGCCCCGGCAGCGCCACGATGCAGCACAAACGGCCCGTCACAGCCTGCAGTCCGAGTAAATGCCGCCCCGGCACCCAGGCGGCGGCAGCAGTTGCGGCCGCAGGCGCAGGCGGCAGGCGGTAGGCAGCAGGCGCCACCACCTCCCTCGGCGGCCGCAGGCACCGAGGCGGACGCCGGCTACGAGACAGACAACGACGGGCAGACGTTGGAGCAGCGGCTACGCATGGTGCAGAACATGGTAGCTACCGCAGAGCTGCTGGTCCCGTACGATAGGAGCGCCGTCAACCTGGGGCTCATCTTGTGGTGAGCTGAGAGGGCTTGTGCTGCCACAGCGCCGGCAGCAGCAGCCGCAGAGAGCTGAATCGCAGAGATGCATGGAGACCGGGTTACAGCAGCGGGAGGAGTAAGCAGTGGCGGCAGCGGTGGTCACAGTCCCATGACCGCATTTGCTGGGAGCAAGGGCAGGGCTTAACAAATCGTAGCCGCCATGTCTCACCCGCTCCGCCCACCGGTCTTTGGCCTGCCCGCAGGGGCGCCATCCGAAACATACCTCGCAAGGACCGCGTGCAGCTGGTGTCCCGCCTTAACTCCGGGTGCGAACGACCGTAGCTGCCGCGCCGCCGTCCCCGCCGCACCCTGGCATGCTGCCACGCCTCATCATATTGGAGTTGCTGCCCTGCATCTCTACTGCCCTCCCTGCCGTCGCGGCGCGCCCCTGACCTTCCACCGCCGTGCTGTGTGCATGCAGGGACATCATGCGGCTGTGGAAGGTGGCGGGACAGCGGTACAGCGCGCCCAAGGAGCAGGTGGTGGCAGCCATCGGTCCAGACTACTCGCTCTGGAAGGTGGGGCTCTGGGCGCAGAGGGGCCATGAAGCCCTGGGGGCACGAATGCAGGGTGGAACGACGTCTGCTGGGGGAGCGGGAAACGCTGCACGAGACAGCGCTGCAGCCTTGCCCTTCTGCCCCACACACCTGCCCTCCACATGCCTCGGCCCCCTCCTTTCCCCACCCTCGCTTGCGCACCTCCCCGCCTCTTCCCCCCCCCCCTGCAGGACCTGCCCGCGGCTGCCTCTGACATTTCTCACTTCCGCGGCAAGGCCGCGCTGCCCACGCACGTGCTGGGCGTGAGCAGCTTCTCCAAGGCCTTCTTCCTGCAGCCCGGCTCGGAGCAGCTGTACGGGCGCGTGCTGCTGGGCAAGGGCCCGCTGGGCGACCTGCTGTACCCTCTGTACTTCAAAGCCACCGTGGGGCCCTGCGTGGTGCCAAGTGAGCCTGCGGCCACCGCTGGCGCCGGCTGGGGTGCCGGCGTGGGGCTCTCAGCAGCGCACACTCGTGGCTGCTCCGCGCTGCTGGCCTCAATCCTGCCGCAAACGATGTCACGCCACATAACCACAGCAGGGGGCTGGTGTGTTGCCTTGGGTAGCGTGCATAGCCTGCTCCCTCATTTGTACCGTTGCTTTGCCTGTACCGTCCCCGCAGCTACCCAGGAGCTGTGCGACATGAGGCTGGACTACCTGCCGCCGCAGCAGCTGGGCCTGGCGCGCGACGACCTGCCGCGCAGCATGTGGCCGACGCCGCGGCCCCACCTGCCGCCCTTCCACGAGGGCTTCACAGACTACCTGCGGGCGGTGGCGCCCGGGGTGTATGTGGGGTGAGTACCTTGGGCCTGGTCGTGTGGGGGCGAGGCTGTAGGGAGCCTCAGACTCAAGAGGGGCCCCTGCGGTGCAGCCGATGGGTGGTGCAGCGCAGCGCAGCGCAGCGCTGTGCCGCATGCGGCCATGGGTCATGGGTCCCTGCCTGCCCAAGCCTGAGGGAGTGCCCGCCTCGCCCTGCTGCCTGCAGGCTGGGATACCGTACCGCCAGCACCGAGCCAAACGACCCGCTGTACTTCCTGATGGTGCACCAGCGCATCGAGTCGCTGCTGTGAGCCCTGCAGCAAGACCCGCGGCGGCCTCCCCCAGGCCGTGGTGCGCGTCTGATGTCTCGTGTGTGTGTCCTTCCTGTGCCATGATTGTGGTGTGAGCCGAGCATTTGCATTTTTTTGTGCACCTCTTTCCTACTCCCCTGTTTCCATTCGCAAAGGGTCCTCAGCCAGCGCCCCCCCGCTCGACCCCCTCCCTTGCTGACCCTGTTCCCAACTGCCGTGTCGCACTGCCTTGCCGACTGCCGTGTCGAACTTGCTCCCCTCCCCCAAATTTTGCCACTTCTTTTCATTCCCCTCCTTGAGCCGCAGCCGCATGCATTCTGTAAGCCGACTCTCTTACAGTGTGGATAGGCATGCACAGTGGGGTCGGCGAGTAGATGCATGCATGAGGGCCATGCGGGAACAATGGACAGAAGCCCGAGACTGGGTTGGAAAGTATCCTGATGGTGGCAGAACAAGCAGGCAGGTAAAGAGTAACAACATTGAGGCAGCGTTTGAGCCAGGGGGCGGTGCATAGGTCAGGCTGGGAGGGTCGGCGCTGCAAGGCAGCCGCTGCTTTGCCTCCTCACCGTCATAGGTGCACCACGCCCCAAGGCGCTGCTGGCTGCCTCGCTAGGCGGTGAGCTGGGCTATTGGCAGTGGTCAGTGATCGACGGTAGCGCAAACCACGAGGGCCAGGCAAAACAACAAAACAAAAACCCAAGGTGGGCAAGGGCCTCTCGAACCGGCGTCAGCCCATCTAGCAGCCTGCGGGGGTGTCTGCGGGCTCTGATCCCACCTTGGCCTGCACCGGAAGATGCTGCGCAGGCGGCGGTGCGGCGACTGTGCCGTCGCCGGGCTGGTGCAGCTTGTGCACCTGGGAGGGCAGCACATCATCCTCTGGCCTGTGGCGGTGCATCTTCATCTTGCCGGCGGCCATCCAGGTTCCCAGCATGGTGTCGTGCTCCCCTGGCGCCACCCCCACACCCTCGGCTGCAGAGACGGCGGCCTTGGCCTCCCCCTCCTCCAGCAGCTGCACGATGCTGGCCTCCTGGCGTGCGGGGCGGGAGCGCGGCATGTATGGCCCGTACACGCGGCCATCCCGACCCACGAGCCATTTGGTGTACCTGCAGGCAGGAAGGGGCGGCAGCAGCGGTGCCGAGACGGGGATCATCAGGGCTGGGCTGCCGCTTGAAGGGCTGGGGAGAGGGGCTCCACAGCTGCCAGCCGTTGCGCATGATAGACAAACGGGCCTGCCGGCCTGGCTGCCCAGAAACAACTGAGGTGCGGCAGCACAGAGGCAGCGGGAGCGCAAGGCACCGGCCCCGCTCACGGCCAGGGGATGGGATCCGTGTTGCCGGAGGCGACCTTGAGGAAATTAATGACTGGGCTGGAGCCCCGCCCATTCACAGCCACCTTGTCCGTCACCACGCCCCTGCGGCGCACAGGCGGGCAGCACGTAATGAGGCAGGCGTGCAGGCACGCACGCATGCATGCATGCATGCATGCATGCATGCAGGCAGGCAGGCAGCAGGCAAGTCTACCGCAGGTTGCTCGGCAGCGCAGTTGGGCGGGCAGGCTGGCAGGCAGAGAGCTGTCGCAGCGGCTCCTCGGCAATAGGACGACCGCCCGGCGAGAGCAGGAGGGCAGTGGGCTGTGCGGCAGGCGCTCACCGGAAGTTGCGGCTGCGCATGAAGGCCTTGATCGCCTCGGGTGTCCCCGGCTCCAGGCGGTGGCCCGGCATGAATTGGTTGGTGGGGAGCGCTATGATGGTGAACCCCCGCGATCCATACTCTTCCATGAGGAGTGCAAAGTCCTGCACAGCAGCGCGGCGTGAATGGCTGGCGAGTCGAGAGGAGGCCTGCCGGTGGGCAAGCTGTACACATGTGATGCCGGCGATGGCAGCGGCGGGGGTGGGAGTGTGAGTGGGAAATGGCAGGCTGGCTGTTGCGCGTGAAATGCTGCATGTTGTTTTTGCACGCGCCTTGAAGTGTGGATCGCGGTAGGAGCCTCATTTGGATGCTGTGCATGCCACTAGCACGACCTGCAGGAGGCCGGCGGGTAGCGGCATTGAGTGCGGCCCGCCCGTAAGGCGGGCTTGACCGGCGGTTGCACTCATTATGAATACACCGGCTGTGAGGGTCTTGCACAATGCAAAGTTCCAAGGCCTACGGCTGACCAGGGCACCAGAGGCAGGGCTGCGCTGCCGTCGCCGCTGGCTGAGCGGGCAGCCCCGGTACTGCGCCCCCAAGGGCGGGCCCAAGGGGCGCCGCCGCTCACCTGTCCCTTAAATTGGGCAAAATCGATGTCATGCTTGTCAATGTCGAGCTCTCGAAGGTCGTAGAAGCTCTGCGCTGGGCTGCTGAGTTGTGGGCTGCTGCCGCACTGTCCCATCACGCCTCGGAGGCGCACCAGCCGCTTTGATCAAGCTGCAAGAGATGGTTGGCGGCAAGCCGAGGCGGCGGGGCCGCTGATGAGGGGGCATCCCTCTGACCTGGCGGCGCCAGCCGGGAGCGGGACGGCCTGCAGCACCTGGTGTCAACACCAGTTTGGAGAAGCCCTGCCACCCCCAGAGAATTGAATGCCAGACCTGGTGTCTTACTGGCAGCAGAATTGGGCATCCATCTGGGGGGCACAATCGGCGGTGCGGTATCAGCCGCCCTTGTGTCTGCTACGCTCATCCTGTCGCTTGCAGCTCGCTTCGTCCGCAATGACGTTTGCGTGAAGATGTGAATACGGGTTTGATGAAAAGTTCCAGACCCATCAACTCTATCCAGCCGCTCCTGCTGTCAATGCCGCATCTCCCGCTGCTGCCGCACCCTGCTCCTCACTCTCCTGCGCCCGCTGCCCCTCCGCTGCTTCCGCTCCCGCTTCCGCCCGCTGCTGCTCCCCAGCCGCTGCTGCAGTGGCCGCATGCCGCTGGCCCCCCGCGACCGACGACGGCGGCGGCGGAGGTAGGGCCCTGCCAGCTGCGTCCACTCGTACCCCGCTCACTGCTCGCTCCAGGCCCACACTCAGCACCGCACGAATGACTCCCACAGCCTGCTGCACTGCCGCATCCACCTGCAGCCGCTCCGCCTCTCCAAAATCCTGCGGGGAGGAGGGGAATCGGTGGAGAGATGTCAGGGGATGGGGACCTCAGCAGCCGGGCTAGCCAAGCACATGCTTTGCTGTGTGGGGCCAAGGGCTGGCAGGCGGGCTGGCAGGGAGCTCCTAGGGTGCCTCCAAAAGTGGGGACACCAGAACTGGCATGAGCGGGGCCATGGCTGCTGCTTCTACCAGCAGAGGCAGGGTACTGAAGCCCCCGGAGCAGCCAGCTCACCTGCAGCACATGGTCGAGCACGGTTGTGCCAGCTGGGGGCCGCCCGATGCCTAGCCTGATCCTGGGGAAGTTGTCCCCTTGCAGGTGAGCTGCGGGTCAGGGTGCAGAGGGGAACAGCAAAGCTGGGGCACAGGCACGCCTGTAGGGGCGGCGCTGTGGCGATTAGCAACCAGTAGACGTGGCCACCCAGCAGGCTGGTGCGCTGGCTAGGCTAGGCGGGGCTAGGAGCTGAGTGGGTGGTGGCTGGTATGTGGGACAGGGCATTGCCGGCTGAACGGCTGCTGTGGCCAACTCCACCTGCAACGCTCTTCATGCCACCGTGTCCCCCTGGGCCGCCCCTGGGCCGCAGCCGCACCGTGCCGGTGGGCAGGTCCAAGTCATCATACACAACCAGCACACGCTCCGGCGGGATCTGCAGGACGGAGAGGAGCAGGCAGGCACACCTGTGTGTGTGCGTGTGAGGCGGAAGGGATGGGCAAGGGGGATGGCGCGAGCGGCAGGCGGCTCCCAAGCGGCAGCGTGCCAGAGGCAAACACCACGTCATGCTCACATGGTAAAAGTCGGCCAGGCCGGCCACCGCCTCGCCTGATAGGTTCATGGTCCTGCAGAGGGCCGCCAGTCAGCGGGGCGCTGTGCGCGCACGGGCCCGCAGCAGGACCGCCAGCACACGGGCACCCAGCTCAAGCAGCATCCCTGCCCTGGACTGCCCCACTCACGTCAGCGGCTTGGCAAGCAGGACGCTCTTGCCCGCCAGCCGGCTGCGCGCCACCTCTGCGTTTGCCTGGAAGCGATCCACCGCCACATCCAGCAGACGGGCGACCGCAGCAACCACCAGCCAGCCGGCGTTGTGCCGCGTGCCCGCAAATTGCGGCCCGGGGTTGCCCAGGCCAACTATCAGCCAGAGGTCTGGGTCCTGGAACGTGGGGCGCTCGATCTCTGCCCGGGGCAGCGTGGCAGCCACCTCGCCGGCGGCGGCAGAGGCGGCGGCGGAGGCCTCCACCGCAGGCGACTTGCGCGGGGGCAGCAGGGACAGCGCCTGGCCCATGGCAGCTTCCTGCGTGTCTGCTGGGTCGACAGGGGCTGGCCCAAATCTCTCTACCGCTGAAGGAGACGTGCGGACTATCGGGACTTGGCAAGGGAGCGAGCTGGGGCGATCAATACAGATTCAGCGCACCCAAAGGGATTGCAAATGAGCCATGGGGCCTTCAAATGCTGTGAGAACTCATGTACAGCAGCGAAACGCACGTGTGCATTTGCTGGGCTGGCGGATGATGCAGGCCTTACTACAATGTCTCGCCAGCAGCGCGCTCGCCAGCACAGGGTGCCGCCAGAGCTGGCGCCCCTGGTTGCCGTGGCGGAGTTGGGCAGGGAGCCGCGAGACCTCGATGCACTGTGCCGCCTAGATTGTGATAATGTGAACGATGCAATGGCGGTGCTGAGAAGGGGCAGCGAGGAGCCAAGCCCGGAGGTTGTCAGGTGCCGGCGCGCCCCGCCTTCGCCGCTCGTGCACAGCTTCCCCCTTCCTCGTTCTCCTTTCTAACTCTTCTAACTCCCATCTCCCTTCCCTCTTTCACTTACTTGGTAGCAGCATACTGCAGCGCATCGCGGCCTTCGTGGCGGCGCACAACGGCCCAGTACCAGAGGATGATGGCAGCCGCCAGTGGGCGCAGACGCTGGCGGCGCGCCTTCGAGCCACCAGCCGGCTGGTGTCGATTGCCGGCGAGCTGGGCCTGCTGGCGCAGCGCCAGCCGGGGTGGCCCCTTGCGCTGCGCTACCGGCTGATGGCGGCAGCCGCCTTCTGCATCGACGGGGCGCCTCGTGTCATGCTGGCTGCCTGGAGCAGTCAGCGCTCATCCGCCACGCAGCAGACGGATGCAGCGCAGCAGGCTGGGCTAGTGCTTCCGGCGATCCTGGACACCCTGAACATCTTCGTGCAGGAGGTAGGTGGCCTGCTTGCCTCCCCCTTGTCATGACAAACCGCTTTCCAGCGCTGCCAGGCCCACTATCACGCCAAGAGCTGCCAGATGCGCCAGCAACATGTGGCCTAATCTGTTTTTCCCACAATGGTTGCCCTGCCACTGCAGATGGAGAAGATCGCGCCATCACCCGAACCACACTCTGCCGCGCATGTTGAGTACGAGAAGCTTGGCAGGCTCCTTCAGAGCACCTCGGCAAGCGACGCCAAAGTCGGGGCATGCCTGAGCTTTGTTGTGCTCGTCGCCCCTGGCATGTATGCCTTAGGTGGGCCAGACGCTGTGCAAAGCACATGCGCCAGCGACCAGTCCGCAGGGCAGCTGCCATCGGCCTGCCTGGACCTGGCGCCGTGCAGTTGTTCCACATCGTGCTGCTGCAGCTGCAGCATGTGCCAGCCGTGCAAACGCCATCCAACAGCTTACACTGCTCCACTGGTTCTGTGCAGTTGAGCGCTCGTGGAGCCCCTCCGTGCTGGAGCCGCTGAAACAGCTGCTCACCAGCCGCGCCTGGCAAGGCCACGACCCATACATCACCCGCATTCTGGACCAGCAGCCAATGCTTGGGATTGGCCTGCTGCGGCTGGTGGTGACGGTGATGAAGCTGGGGGCCGCGCTGCTGCTGGCGCTGCACGACCTCTCACGTGATGCCGACTCGGCAGTGGTGGCCCTGGCACGTCAATTGCAAGAGGCAGAGCCTGGGCCCGCCTGGGGGCTTGCGGCAGCCATCGCGTTCTCTCCGGCGCTAAAGAACACGTGGCGGGCTGCGGCTGCTGCGGTGGAGCTTGGCCCTGAGGCACCGCTGGCGGCTGAAAGCTGCAGCTTGCAGCAGAGCATTGCAGCAGTGGTGAAGCAGCTCCAGTCGCAACTGGGTGTTCATGGGCCGGGCCCAGAAGGCATTGCTGCAGGCGAGGCAGCAGCAGCAGCGTCAGCCTCGCCCATCACGATTGCAGGCTTCGGTGGCGCGCTGGGAGACACGCTGCAGCATGTTGTGAGCAGCCGGGCAACTACCGCAGACAAGCAAGACTGGCTGTGGATCCTGGCTGGGGCGGTCTCTGATGCCATACGGTCATGCGTGGAGCAGACGGCGCCATCCCGCACCCCAGGCAGCACGGGCAGTCCTGCGCAGCCACTGGAGACTGCCTGGCTGCTGCAGCAAGTGCAGCGGGTGGCGGCAGCCTTCACTGCTCATTTGCCAGAACCAATGGATGCTCCCGATGGCGAGCTGTCGGGGCTGGCTGCTTTTCGGACCTTCTGCAGCAAAGTGTTGCCAGCGGTAGCGGCTTGGCTGCCACGGGAGGCTGCTGCAGGCGCAGATGGTAGCCTGATGGTGGTGGCACTCAGCACCATGATGGAGGCTGTCGCTCGGGGCCTGGCGGCCACCTGGCAGCGGCCTGCACCAGACGGGTGGCCGCGGCGGCAGCAGGGAAGAGGGGACGGGACGATCTGCGATCGGCCGCGCTGTGATGAGGCTGATTATGACTTGGTGTATGCCGCCAGGGCGCTGTGCACCCTGCAAGCTGCAGCGGGTGTGCTGGGCATAGGAGGGTACAGCCCTGAAGGGCTGCCTGAGCAGCAGCAGGATGAGATGCAGCAGCAGGACCGGCATGCGCGCCGCAGCCTGCTGCTGTGCCTGCGCAGCACCTGCAAACTGGTTCAGTGCGCAGCGGCATCGGCAGCTTCGGAGGCGCATGGAGGCACTGCTGTGAAAATGCGGCTTATGGAGGGAGGCCTCAGCGCGGCGTATGTCGCATGTGCGGTGGCGCAGCGCTGGCGCCTGATGAGCGGTGCTGGGCAGATGCCTGATGATGAACAGCTGAGGCAAGTCGTTCTGCTCTCCTGCATGTGGCATGACAGCAAACGTGCCTCGTTTGCGACAGACCGCACATTGGTGGGCTTTGGCAACCAGCAACATCCCTGCGCCTCGCATGTGTAGGCAGCAGCTGGTGGGCACCGCCCTGGTTGCCCTTGCCACCGCCGATGCCATGGAGGCAGCACTGGAGCAGCTGGAGGCCCAGAAGCAAGCCCCAGCAGGCAGCAGTAGTGCCAGCCCACGCAGCGAAGTTCTGCGACAGACTCCCAGCCGCATGAAGATGCTTCTGGAGAGTGCAGGCATTCGCGCCTGGGTGCTAGTTGCTTGCCCAGCGCTGCGGGGGCTGCCGCACGGGCGAGCGTCAGTGGCGGCGCTTCTGGATGCGGTGCCAGAGCTGATGGTGAGGCGCGGCGGGCACAGCGGGCGCCGCCGCCTCCGCGGCTGCCAGGCTGTGCCGCTGGCAATATGGTGCTGTGACCCAAGCTTCTGGTGGCAGGGGTGCTTCACTTGCTCCATGGATGCCTGCCTGCTCATGCTGGCTTGGCCCTGCAGAAGTGTGCGGTAGTGTTTGAGCCGGCGTTGGGCGGCATTGTGGAGATGGTTGACACAAGGTGGGTGCCCGGTTGGATGGGAGGTGGCTGGGTGGCTGAGCTGACGCTTTTGTGATCGTAAATGGGTTGGCCGGGCCATCGAGCTTCTCAGTCATACCCAGGCTGCTCCGCACATCATCTTGCATCTACTCACACTTGGTGCAGTCTTGTGAAGGAGCTGTGCCGTCGCCGCCTGCTGTCGACTGTCTGCGACATGGCAGATCGATCTGGGGTGTGTTGTGCCCGCCTTGCATTGGGCCTCCGGCATGCTAGCATGTCCGCTTGCACGCGCAACATATGCTGTGCCATTGCATGTCGAGCGCCTCTGCTGGCCACCCCAGCCTCTTGTCCTGCTGCTCTTCATGCAGGTTGCAGCGCAGGCTGCTGCGGCCGCAGGCAACCTGCTGTTACGGACGATTGCGCAGGCACCGCAGCTGTTGGATGTCTCCATCCCGTCAGGTGACGCGCCGGCGGTTGCCGATGCAAGGGCAGCCCTTGCGGCGATAGCGTCATCATTGCCGGGGTTGTCGAAGGTTGCGGTCGAGCTCATCGTGCAGCTTCCAGCTGGGCTCCTGGCCCTCCGTGTCTGGTCGCCAGAGGATGAACTGCAAGACATGAACCTGGCTATGATTCAAGCCAGGTCTGGCAGCCGGGAGCAGGATGGCGAGGGCTCCAGCATCTGGCAGCAGCTAGGGCAGCGCATGGCAGCGCCGCTGGAGGAGGCAGTGATGGCGTTGGATGCAGTGGAGGCACAGGCAGCCGCTGCAGCGGCGGCTGCAACAGATGGCGACGCCGCGGAGGCCGCGGAGCAGCAGCAACGGGAGCGGCAGCAGGTGGCTCGTGCGCTGGGCGCGCTGCAGTGTGCACACGTGGGCTGCACCACCGTCAGCGGCACCAGCGAGGCTGAGATTCGGGGCAAACGCTGCGGCGGCTGTGGGGCGGTCAGATACTGCGGTACGGCCTGCTCACGGGCGGACTGGCGGGCTCACAAGGCGGTGTGCAAGGTGCTCCAAGCCGAGGCAGCGGCGGCGGCAGCCGCCGCCGAGGCACAGCCATAACAGCCCACGCGGCGGCTCTGCCAAGCAGGGGACGCAGCCCCGGCGCAGCCGCCTCCGGTTTGTTTGAAGGGCATTTTGTTTGTTGCTTCTCGGATGCCAAGGCAGCATGTAATCAGTTATAATACTACTAGGCTGTTGTTTGAAATCGCTCTCGAGGCTGGACGGCGGCGGCGGCGGCGCAGCGCGCCTGCAAGCCCAGTCAGCTATCGGACAAGCGAGGGCGAACTCGCAGCGTTCCGAGTCCCGCTGTGGCCCTCGAACACTGGGCCCAGCAGGTGCCATGGCGTCAACAGCCGAGCCGCCTGTGGACTTTGTGTCCGAACTTCCCTCTCACTTAGCGCAACAGGTGGCTGTGACCTGCTACGTGGTGGCTGTGACCTGCTATGGGGCTGGGTGTGTGCCGGTCGTGCCGCCCTGTCGCGTTGTCGCCAGTGCCCGCCGCCGCCGCCGCCGCCCCATCCCTGCCTGACCCTCAGTCGCCCACACGTGTGCCGTGTGCCTCTGCTGCTGCAGGTGCTGGCCCGCCTGGACCACCACCGCGACTTTGCGGCGGCCGGCTGCGTGTGCCCTTGCACACGGTGGCGGCGGCGGTGGTGGTGGCGGCGGGTGGTGCAGGAGGAGGCGGTGTGGCTGGCGGGCTATGGCCGTCGCTTCCCGGGCTGGGGATGCGAGCGCACGCTACGCGGCGCCGCCGACTGGCAGGAGCAGGAGCAGCTCAGGTGCGCGGCGCTTTGAGCTTGTTGTGCGAGTCGAGCCTGCGCTGGGTCGGCTGCCAGAGGGCTGCTGCCCACGATGTGAGCCCTGCTGCTCCCACATGCTTGTATGGGCTCACCGTGCTTTGCCTGCTTGAGCTGCTGCAGCTGGCAGGAGCGCTACCGCTGGCGGCTGGGCGTCGAACGGGCGTGGCGCCAGGGGCGGCGACACCTCGTGCACGCCCTAGGCAACCACGCCGCCTGGGTCAATGCCGTGCGCTTGGTGCCCGGCGGCGGCGGCGTGGCCTCGGGCGGCAGCGAGGGCGCCGTCAACGTCTGGTGGGCGGGAGCAGGCTGTCTCTGGGGCCGCAGGCGGGCCTGCCTGGTGGCCTCCCTCTGCCTGCCAGGCCGAGGCAGGGCTGCGCCCGGCTTGTGGCGCAGGCAAGCCGGTCCTGCAGGCTGCCGTGGCCTGCCGTTCTCACCTGCTTCCTTCTTTCTTTCTTCCTGTCCCCAGGTCGCTGGCAGGAGAGCCGCTGCTGCACGACACCACCCACAGCCAGGCTGTGTGGTCGCTTGACGCCGACCGCCGCCTCGTGGTCTCAGGCAAGCCCCAGCCTGGTGTCTGGGCCGGCGTGGTCCTGCCCGAGAAACTGCCTGCTGGCTGCCTGCTGGCTGCCCCCTGCCCCCCACCTGCTGCCTGCCGTGCCCGTTTTTTCCACCCCCCGCACCGGTTGGCAGGGCCCAGGAAGGGTGGGGTGCAAGTGCTGGACTTGGAAAGGGGCGAGGTGGCGTTGCGCCTGCCAGCCGGCTGGGGGGGGCTTGCCAGCTTCCCGCCCGACGAGGCCGACTGGCCGCAGTTTGATGTCGTGACGTCTGTGCAGGTGCGGATGCCAGGGCTGTGCTCAACCTGATCACACCTCGACCTGCCCCCATGTCTCGTGCCCTTTGGCTGGTGTTGCAGCCGTTGCACAGTCACGGCAGGTGTCGTTCCGGGCCGGGCAGTTGTGAGTCACCTTCCTCCCCACAAGTTCTGCCCCTCTGCTCCCTCTCCCCGCAGCTTCTGCCGTGCGGGCAGCAGGTGTTGGCGGGCTGCATGGACGGCGCCCTGCAGCTGCTGGACCTCCGCAGCCGCCAGCCGGCAGCGCAGCAGCTGGCCTGGGCGCAGGGAGACGCTGCCACTGCCGCCGCCGCTGCTTTTCCGTGGCAGGGTGCCGGCAGCAGCGGCGGCGCCCGCCTGTGCGCCGCGCGCTGCCACGAGCACTTGGTGGTCGCGGGCGGCGACGTGGCGGCGGTCTCGCTTCACGACCTGCGCATGGGCGGCGCGCGTTTCGCTGAGCTGGCGCTGCCAGCTGGCGCCCACGCCCTGCCCGCCGTCTTTGCCATGGACCTTCTCTACCCCCGCCTGGCCACTGGTGGCGACGGGGCAGGTGCAGGTGTGTGGCTTCCTGCCGGCTGGCTGGCTGGCTGCCTGCTGGCTGGCTGTGGGGCCCATGGCACCTGCTGCAGCGCGTTAGGTGCCCCCCCCCAGCCGAGCGTCGCTCCAGTCGTCTCACTACTGCGTTGGGGGAGACCGACAAGGGAGGGGGGAGCCTGCTCGCCTTCTTCCACCTCCCTCCATGCGCCGCTGCTCTCACCTGCTGGCCTGCAGGTCTGGGACTTGACACGGCTGGATGCGGCGCCGGGCGTCCTGCCCGCTGTACCGCCAGCCGCCGCGCAGCCGCCACCTCGCGTGGTGTACCGTTTGGGTGCTGGCCCTGGCCCTGCCAGCAAGAACGCCATTGGCGTCACCACACCCGTCGCCAGCCCTCGGCAGCAGGCGCAGCCCCAGCCCCTGCCCCAGCAGCAGCAGCAGGGCACAGGCCCTTCTGCTCCCCCGCCCAGCTGGCCGTCCCCAAGCGACCCGCCAGGCAGGGGCGGCGGTCGTCGGCGGCCGCCGTGGACTGCCTGTTTGCCAGCAACGAGTACAGCTTGCGCCACGGCCTGCACATGGGGTGAGAGGCGCTGGCGCTGCCGCCGGCCTCCAGCTGGCTCGCCTTGCCTGCTGTGAACCGCGGAGGTTGCAATTGTTTTCGTCACCCCTGCCACATGTTTGAGCCCCACCCTCAACCCTCATGCTGTTGTGTTGGTGCAGGTGTGTGTACGACGTGAAGCTGCTGGAAGACGGCAGGCTGCTCAGCGCCGACCACGCCGGCCACGTGCGGCAGTGGAGCAGCGGGGAGCTGGTTGGGGGGCGCCACCGCCACCACTGCCTCACGCTGGGCCCTGCCTTTGCGCCCAGCGTGGACGACCCTGCCTCTGCCCTGATCGACCTGGAGTTGCGCGGCTGTGAGCGGCTGTGTGTGCGGGGGTGGTTGGATGGGGTAGGTCGGGATCCGGGTGGAGCGGCACCCGGTGCACACCGCTTGCGTCGCGCCACGGCGGCTCTGGGAGCAGATGGGGCGCGACTGCTTGAACGCCGCCTGCCTCCTGCCTGGCGCACGCCTGCAGGGCGGCCCCATGCGCCCCGTGGGCATGCACTGCCTGGACGCGTGCCTGACGCACCTGGCAGTGGCGGGGCGGGACAGCGTGGTGCGCCTGTACCGCTACGGACAGTGAGCGGGCGGACGCCTGAAGGGCAGACATGCATCCCTCTGCTCCGTTAGTTGCATCCACGGCTGCCACGGCTCAGCGGCTGCCTCCCCCCAGCCAAAAGTGGCGTCGGCAGCAGCTGCGGCATTAGCGCAAGTTCAGCCGCTCCAGTCCCGACTCTCTACGCCGTCTTATGTGTACAGTGCAGTGTTCACCACCTGGGATTGGCTGAGCTGATCTGTTGGGGGGATTGTTTGCCCCTTGCTCGTGGCGCTTCTGCTGGGCTGAGCTGACGGTGCCGTTGAGCTGACGACAATGTTGAGCTGGTGGCACCGTTGAGGCCTCTAGGGCTTGGGTTGCGATTCCCCAACTGTCACCATCTGTTCTATCGCAGTCTTAGCCAGGTTATGAGCTCACGTTAGCGTTTAAACAAGTTGGCAGTTTCTTTTCGGCCGACCGGACGGCATTGCAGGCGTCCGCAGCCTCGCTGGCAGCACCGCCCAACGGCGGCACCGCTTCGCCGCTGGCGGCAGCGGCGGCGCTCCTAAACTATTGAATCTGCAATTGATGCTGAGGCAGCTCCATCAAGTCGCACTGGCTCGCTGATGCAGGCTGCTGGCTGTTGGTGCATTCATGTCTGGTGCATGCAATGCTGAGCTGGATCCTTTCCACCAATTTCCTTTCCGCCCTCACTCGCCCCCATTTCCCGCTTTATTAGCTCCCATACTACAGCCACAACTCGCAACGATGCACCAGGCCCCTGACTCGGGCTATCCGGGCCTGGAGAAGGAGCAGCAGGAGCCGAACAGTAGCATGCTGCGCCTGCCTGCTCGCACCCCCGCCAACAGCCCGCTGGCAGGGCGCCAGGAGAAGCCAGGTTCGTCGTTGCGCCTGCAGGGAGGCGGCGATGAGAAGCCCGTTGACCGCCGTTGACCGCCCGTGCCCTTACGCACTTGCCTCCCTCCCCTGTCCCGTGCCTCGCCCTTGCCCACTGTCCCTGCACAGGTGTGGCCGGCAGGGAAGCCTCGGGCGCGCTGCAGCCGCGCGGGCTGGGCCTGTTTGGGTGCGCCGCCACGCCTTCCAAGGCGGAGGCCGCAGCCGCAGCACCCGCCCCTTCCTCCTCGGCCTGGACTGATGCCAGCGCAGAGCCCACCCTGAGCATGCTCCGGCCCGCCGATAGCTGCGACCCCACCGTGGAGGGCCCCGCAGCCAAGCGCCCCAGGCTGGCGCGCCAGAGCAGCCACGGCTACGGCCTGCAGCAGGCGGGCGGCTGGCGGGCCGGCTGCGCCGCAGGCAGCGCCTCGCTCTGCGACAGCGACAGCGAGGGCGAGGAGGCGGTGGTGTCCCGCAAGCACCCCACCCCGCACAAGGGCGCCTCCGTGCAGCCCTCCGCGCGGCGCGCCCCCGCGCAGCACCCACCACCCACCTGGGCATCCAGCCTGGGCAGCGCGGGAGCTGCTGCCGCCAGCCCCGCGGCGGTAGCACCCAGCGCGCGCCGCCAGATGGACCAGGTGGGTTGGTGGGTGCTGCGCCAGCCATCACCACCTCCCCTGCTGCTGATGCCCCACCACCAAAGGCAGCACCCACATCCACGCCTGCACCTGCCTGGCTCTCAGCATCATCCGACATGCCCCTCCCCACCCATCTGCTTCCCTGCAATGCTGCCACCGCAGGCTGTGGATGTGCGCATGGAGGTGACGGGCGGCGCCGGTGGCGGTGCAGAGGAGGAGGAGGCGGGCGGCGGCAGCTGCAGCGACATGGATGAGGATGAGGGCGACGAGTGCTTTGCGGGGCCCTGGCTGCACCTGCCCTACCCGCACCCTCTGGATGTGGAGGAATGAGGGCCAGGTGGGGCATGGCGGCACAGCGGCCGGCGGTCGTCGTCATCGACCTGGCCTGCCTGTGCTGGGGCCGCAGATTGCCCATGAGCTGTGCAGCTCTCTCCTTGTCTGCATCACTGTTTTTGCCCTGCTTCTTCACTTGCCCTGTTATCTATCTGAACAAAGTGCATGCTGGTTTACTTGGGGATGCCTGCTTCTTTACAACAGCGCTCGACTATGATACACAACGCTCAACTACACAGCAAGCGCTCGACTGTTGCCAACAGCCTCAACTCACACAGACAACCAGCACCCAGTTGGGCGGCCAGGCCGCTCAGATGCAGAGAGGCTGCAGCTCGGGCGGGACGGGGATGCCGTGCGCCGCCAGCAGCCCCAGGTCCAGCCTCCACTGCTGCACGCTGCGCTGCTGGCGCAACTGCTGCTTGTGCGCCAGGTACGCCTCCACGTCCCCCGGCCCCCAGCAGTTGAGCTGCAGCAGCAGCGCGGCGGCGTCCTGCGCGGCCCGCCCCTCCAGCTCCAGCAGCCCGCCGATCTGCTGCACCTCGGGCGCCTCGGCGCGGAAGCCCAGCAGGCGCAGCACGCGCCGCGCGTCGTCAAACCCCCACCGCTCGTGCACCGCTGCCAGCGGCGCGGCGGTGACGGAGCACCGCCCCCGCGCCGCCGCCATCGTGGCGGCCTTCAGCTCGGCCCAGGCCTGGCCGCCTGCAGGCGCCAGCCGCAGGCCCAGGCTCACGTGCTGCACCAGGCTGGCAGGGAAGGCATAGACCTCCACCGGAGGGACAGTGGGTTGCACCAGCACCTGCGGGAAAGGGCAGGGCAGGGCAGGCGGGCGGGCAAGAGGGCGAGATGGACAGGCGTCAGCGACCACCGGGCAAGTGTTTTGACCGACTGCTCGGCTGAGCGTGCGGCTGGCCTCATGTCGGGCCGTTGCCTTGTCTCAGGTGGGAGCAGCTGCTGCCCCCAGAGGCAGTTGGGTGCAGGGGGATGCAGGTGCTGGCTGCGCCTGCTGCGCCGGGTGTGCAAAGATGGTTTCAACAGACGTTTAAAGTACCGCTCACCGTGAACCCCCACAGCCCCTCCTCGCCCTGCCGGCCCACGCTGCCCACCGCGCCAAAGCAAAGGTCCTGCAGGCAAACAGGTGGGTGCAGGCGCGCGTGTCTAAGTCTCCAAACGCCTGCCGGCCGCCCTCCCGGCAGCGAGCAGCACGCCGGCAGCGCATCCCCGCTCAACTGCCAATGCCGGGCACCCTCCACCGGCCATGGAAGCCGCGGCGGCGCGCCCGGCTTGCCTGCAGGAAGTATGCGGTCTTGTCGCGGGCGATGTAGCCCACGCTTTGGTCGTCTAGGGTGCGGATGGCCACAGCGTGTGGGTCGTGAGGGTTGTCTGGCTCCCGAACAAGCGCAAGCGCCTGGCCTACAAACGGGCATGGCGCAGGCAGGCAGGCAGCTTGAGCAGGCACACACCAACCAGCATGCCCACGGCAGGCAGCGGCGGCACAGGCATGCATAAGCCGTGCGCTGCCAGCCCCGGGCCCACGCACCCCTGTGCAGCTGCGGGATGAGCGACTGTCGCGAGTCGAACGATACACCCACTGCACGGAACGACTGCAGCGGGACGACTCGCTGCAGCCATCGCCGGCTCGACAACACCGACGGCTCGACGGGCGCCACGGATGGCGCGCCGCTGCTGCTGCCAGGCTGCTGCTGCGGCGGGGGAGGCTGCGCAGGGGGCGGGTGGGGGCTGTCTGCTCGTCGAGTGGGCTTGCCGGCAACGCCGCCATATCGGTCTGCCCGCGAGTCCCGCCCGGCCGCTGCCGCCAGCGCTCGGCGCTGCTGCTGCTGCTCGGCGAGTCCCCATCCCCAGGGGCACGGCCTCAAGCTGCTGGCCCCGCCCGCGGCTGCACACGCTGCCGGCGAGCACGCTGCTGCAATCCGCGGACCGAGAGCGAGCTTCAGCGTTCCCGATCGCATCATGATGCCAAGAGGAGCGCTGGCAAGGAGGAGACGGCGAGTCCAGACAGAACCGAGTTGCTCTAAGGCAGGGCAGCAGAGGCTGTCTACGGCTGCAAACGATGCTTACAGGGGATGCGAGAAAGACCGGGAGAGCCACAGATGTGTCCAAGGCCCTCGCCATGCGGAGCCTAGTAGGCAAAGCAGGAGGCCTGCGCCAGGTGAAATGCAGTGCCATCGTCCAGGCAGACCCAAACCCTCTGCATGAGCCCGCCCTTCCCCTGCACCCCGTCCGCTCCTGGAGCCGGCATGTCGCTGCTCCAGTTCCTGCTGCGCTCCCTCAAGTACCCTCGCGCCGATTCCTTCAACCCCGATGATCCAGGGCAATTCCAGGCCGTGTTGGTGTGGCTGGAGAACACAAAAGTGCGACAATACCCGATGGACGGCCGCCAGCAGCTGCAGAGCGGCGACCCAGCCGAGTGGCGGGCCGCCCTGCAGAAGTACCTGGCGGATCTAGAGTGCCCGATCAAGCCGGACGCCGCCAACCACCGGGCCGTGCTGCAGTGGCTGCTCACGCATGCGGGTGCGATGGCGGCGGCGCTGGCAGGCAGCAGATATCCCTTGCTGTGCACCAAGCAAGGGCTCTGGCAGGGATGCAGCAGGGAAAATATCGCATGGATCGTCTGTGACTAGTGGGGTTGGTTGACAGCGCTCAAGCTGAGAGCAGTGTGGGTCGTCGCCCAGCCAGCATCTCGCCCCGCACCGACGCCACCCCTGCCGCTCTCTTTCCCCGTCGGGCTTCGCTCCCAACCGCTGCCCCCACGTCATACCTGTTGCTGCAGTGGGGCTGGAGTACACAGACGCCTCGCAGCAGTTTGACCAGGTGGCGCAGCGGGTGGAGGCGGAGGCGGGTCCCCCAGAGCAGTGGACCGAGCCCGCGCTGCCACCTCTGCCAGACATCACCACCGATGCAGTAAAGGCCGCGCTGCTGCAGCTGCAGCAGCTGCTGCATGTGGAAACCGGCGGCGGCGGCAGCGGCGGCGGCAGCAGCGGCGGCGGCGGCGGTGGAGCGGGCCCGTCCTCGGCGGCGGCGGCGGCGGCAGGCCCTGCCGAGGCGACCCCACAGGGCCTGCAGCGGGCGAAAGCCATGCTAGAGACCTGCATCCTCCCAGCCCTGGCTGAGCTGGCCAAGCAGCAGCGGCAGGGGCAGGCCGCGCCCGGCGGCGCCGAGGCAGGCGCCCCGCCTGCGGCGGCTGCGTCGGGGGCCTCGCAGCGCTCTGCGGCGGCGGCCATGCTGGCGCAGTACCCGCTAGGCTTCTCCACAGGCGACGCGGCCGCCGACCTGGGCGCCACCATCCTGCGCATGCTTTACATCAAAGACCTGCGAGCGCTGCAGGTGCAGAGGGAGGCCGTTGGTGGCCGGGGCTGGGGAGTGGAGCTGGGGCGCAGGGCAGGTGGAGGCTGGTGGTGCGGGTACGAGCCTGGTTGGTACTGCCGTTCGCAACCTCACATCCCACTCGCCCGCTGTGTGCCACCCCTGCCGCCTGCAGACGCTGGTGGACTCTGCCATAGTCCAGGTGCAGGAGTATACAGCCAACCCGCGTACTGACGCCAGCCTGGGCAAGGTGGGCAGGTAGCGGCTGTGGAGGGAGCTGCGGCGGCAGGTGGCAGCCTGGAACCTGCACCTCACCTGCATCTTCCTGTTTTTTTGCTCTGCTTTCCATTCCGTCCCCCACCCTGCTTCCGATTTCATTTCATGCCAGAGAGTGGAGAGCGTTGTAACACGAGCGCAATCTTGACAGCAAAGGAAAGCAGCACACAGATGGGCAGCTCACTGCAGCTGTGCCCCTGCGGCTCCTGCCGCCCCGGCAGCCCCCTGCTGCACGCCGGCCGCGCCTCCTGCCACCCCTGCCGCCTGCTGCTGCTCCACCGCCGCTCCGCCGGCGGCAGCTGCTGCGGCCTGCTGCGCTCCTACCGCCGCCGCCGCCTGCTGTGCACCTAGAGTGGTAGCCTGCTGCTGCGCCGCTGCCGCCGCCTGCTGTTGCTGCTCCTGAGGTAGCACAGCCCCTGCGCCCATCTGCTGCTGCTGCGCTGCCGCCGCTGCTTGTTGCGCAGCTGCGTCTAAGCCCTGCTGCTGCACGTTGCCAGCCAGCTGGGCGGCAGCATCCTGCGCGCCGGCGCCTGCCACCTGCTGCACCTGCAGCAGCTGCTGCTGCTGCACCTCTTGCTGCGCTCCTCCCTGCTGCTCCCCTGCCTGCTGCGCTCCTCCTGCAGCCCCCTCCGCGGCCGCCTGCTGCGCCTGCTGCGCCTGCTGCTGCTGCTGCGCCTGCTGCGCGGCGGCTGCCGCCTCCTGCTGCTGCCGCTGCTGCTCCTGGTAGCGCGGGTCGTCGGCCCCCTTGAGCCAAAAGTCCTCGTGCTGCTCGGCTGTGTACCGCTTGAGGTGCTCCTCGGTCACGGCTGCAGGGCCCAGCGGCGGGAGGGAGCGGGGTGCAAGGTCGTGCTGGGTCGGGGGAGGGCCCAGCTGGGCGCGTTTGCGTCTCGCAAAGCGCCTCCCGCAGGCATTTGTGCGTGTGACGCCTCAACCCCTGCAGCCCTGCATCCCCCACACCCCCAGCACCGCACATGCCAGCCGGCGCCCCACTCGCCTGCACACGCATGCCTGCACACACGCATGCCGGCACACATGCTGCCGGCCCCCCGTGTCCAACCACCCCCCACATCCCCCAGCCGCCGCCTGCCTGGGTAGTGCTGGAAGGTGGCCTCTGTGTCCCACACCAGCAGGCCGTCCCAGTTCCACTCGGTGGACCACTCATCCACAAAGTCGAAAAACTCCCAGCCCCTGCAGGGGGGGCGGCGGCCAGGGTGGAAAAAGGGTGGCGGGAGTGCGTCGCGGCAGGCTGGAGAGGAGGGTATGGCGGAGTGAGGCTGGGACGGTGCGGATGCCTCACACAAGCACGCGCAAGGCAACCAACCACACACACGTACACCACGCCCCTGGCCCTTGTCGGACTCACCTCTGGCGCTTCATGGCGGAGCCGCGGACCATCTTCAGCGCAAACTCCTCCCGGCTCTTGATGGCGTAGTGGTGCAGCGCCAGCCTCACGTGCACTGCGCAGCAGGAGGAGGGGGAGGAGCGGGGCAGGGCCGGGCGGTGGATGAATGGCAGCCAGGACAGGCAGTCTGCAGCCATGGCCGCTTGAGGCAGGACAGGCAAGCAGCTGGCAGCTGTGGCGGGGGCGAGCGGTGCCCGCCTGGCGTGGTCTGTGCATGCGAGCCCACAGCTTATATGGGCGGTGGACGATGTGCCTGTGCACACGCACCCGGCTCCTCGCTGCGTGCGCCCAGTATGGGCGTCTTGTCGGTTTGCAGCACCGGCAGCGAGCAGTTGTGCACGAAGTTGTGGGGGCCCTCCACCCCGGCAGTGCACCTGCAGCAGCAGCAGGAGCCAAGGGGCAGGGCTTGGCATCAGCCAGCCTTGGCACCAGTGGCACCACCCTTTAAACCTGGGAGCCAGCTAGCCCTCATGCTCGCCACCCACCCATTGAGATCCCCCAGCCCTCGCCCACCCAATCACACCAGCATCAAACGGCAAACAAGCTCGCCCAGGGGGGCCCACTCACGCTGTGCGCACGATGGTCTTGACCAGAGCGTGCTGAGCGTGGCGCAGCTGCAGGCAGCGGTGGTAGCTGCGCAGCACGCCGCCCGCGGGCCGCGCCTCGTGCCCGCTGCTGCCGAAAATCAGCCAGTGGACGGCCAGGCCCGAGAGCGCGCGCGGCGGCGCAGCAGGACCCTCGAACTCTGTCAGGAAGGCGGGCAGGCTCTGGATGGAGGGCCAGGGGTCCCTGCAAGGCAGCCGGGCGGGTTGGCGGGTCGGCACCACGGCGGCAGCCCACGGGGCCAAGGCCAACAGCGGCGCTCACAGCAGGGTCGGGACGCAGGGAACAACACCGGCCCTCGTGCCGGCGCCGTGCCCGCGTCCCCAGGCTGCCCATCCCAGCCAGGGCGCGGTCCCCGCGCAAGGTCCCTGCCTCCCCACCTGAACATCAGGAACTCATCCACATCAATGAAGGCCATCCAGGTGTGCAGGTGGCCACGCTGCAGGCACCTGCAAAGGCAGGGGAGGCCGCCACGGCGAGGGCCGACAGCGTGGGCACGGGCTGTGCGTGGCAGGGGGGGCCGAGATTGCCTGGCAGCCCTGCAGACGGCGCGGCGGCAGCCCGCAGCGCCACAGCAAACCCCGGCAGGCCGTGGCAGCGGCAGTCAAGCAGCGGCTGAAAAGCAGGAGGCTGGCGGCGGCCGGCTGGCTGAGCTGGTGGCTGCCGGCGAGCAGGCGGCCGAGCTGGCGGCACTCACTGGTCGTAAGCATAGAGCTGGGGCTTGCCAGAGGGGTGCTGGAACTCAGCAAAGTGCTGGTACTCAACAATGCCGGCGGCAATATAGCCCTGCAGCGACGGTGGGAGGAAGAAAGGCAGCGGCGGTGGGGGCGTGAGGCAGCAGGGTGGCAGCGGCAGCGCAGCAGGCACAGCCGCTGGAAAGCAGATGGGAGCGGCGCAGCAGTGGACGGCGGCCCGCATCCCCCTCACACCTGCACCACGCTGCGCATGGGCGGCTGGCTGGCGTGGTCCCACAGATAGATCTTGCTCACGCCCAGCCTGCGCCAGCGGGGCAGGCAGGCGGCATGCCCAGGCGCAGCGCGCTCAGCACGAAGGTCGTCGACAGCGCGCTCCCGCTGCCCCCGCTGCCCCTGCCGCTCCGCGCTGGGCTGCGCTGGGCCGTCCCGGCTGCCCAGGCTGCGGTATCAGTCACCTGACGTGGTGTGATATCCATTCCAGCATGTCGGCGTGTGCGTCCCGCGCCACCACACAGATTGCCACATACCCAAGCCCCGGGTGCCCTGCACGGATGCCCAGCCGCATGCGTGGAAGACGCAGGCCTCAGGTACACACACCGGGCAAAGGAAGGCAAGGCGAGGCAGGGCAGCAGCGGCTCGGCGTGTGCCAGGCGACCATGGCGAAGCGCCGGGGCCGCTGCTGCGGCGCAAGCGCCCAGCGGCCGCGGCGCGCCTCTCACCGGGCATCAGGAAGGTGCCGCTGCTGAACTCCTGCTGCCTCTCCCGCACCCCGCTGACCTGCCACTCCCTGCGGCGGCAGAATGGTGGGGAAACCGGGGGCGCAGGCGGGACGCTTGGCAGGTGGCAGAGCAGCGCCGCCACGCAACCCACAACATGCATAGCCGAGTTGGAAGGTTTGTGCACGTGGTGCCACACGCCTGAATGACTTTTTGGGCGGTGCTGGCACCCCGATCTCAAAATTGGGCAGCGGCTCGTGCGGAACTGCCGTGCCACCGCCGCCTGCAACACAGCAGGAGCGGCAAGTGGGTGCCGCAGACTCAGCTTGCACGTCTCTCTTTGCATGTCCCTCTGGGACAAGGATGGAATAGCACCCAGGTCTCAGTGACGAATCCTACCGCAGCTCACCTTGCTGCACGGCTTGGTGCAAGGAGCGGCGCTGCTGCTGCCCCTCCGCCGCCACCAGTTCGGGCGACCCCTCGCGGCGCCATTCCCCAGCCTCCCCGCGCACCGCCGATGCCTCGGTCAGCACGGCCCGCCTGGTAAAGGCAGGCGCGGTCAGCAGCACGAGAGCTGCCGCCACCAGGAGCGCGTTTGTGCCCATCACGGCGCCATGTGGTTGCTGTGGCGCACCTGAACACAGCACAATGGGTCTTGCGGTCCAACACGCGCGGAGGACCTGGAGCAGGAGCGGGAGCAGTACGTCGGTGGTTGTCCCGCGGCGGGCGCCACGCGGGCGCCAGGCAAGTTGCACCCTGCACCGTGTGAGCACTCCCACATTACAGCCAGCAATCACCATGACCTGCGATGAGGCCACATAGCCCCCTCTCTCGTGATCCAGAAGCTCTGAAGGCATGTCTCCTTGTGCAGGTGGGCCGGTTCACGTGTGATACCACCCCGCCCCTGCAATGCTTGGATGTTTGCATATCGATTGGGATGAAATGGCAATCCAAATTGGCATGCTTTGGTCAAACCAGAATGCATTAATTGCTGCGGCCGACAGGAGGCTGACCCAATGGTGCACAGCGGTGGGCGCAGCACACAGCATGCATCATGCCCAGAGGGGACGAACAATTCCACAGCCTGCACCTACACACAAAGTCCAGTCCAGGTCAGGAGCCTGGCATCAGGCCCCCAAAGCTCCGATCAGTCGCACGCGAAAATTGAACCAGCTTCCGCGATGCAGTGCAAGCCGGGGGAAGTGCGCGTGCTAGTTGCCAAAGGTGCGATGCTCGAATGCAGTGGGGATCGGCCCCATCCTCGATGGCGCCTCCCGCCCCACTCCCGCCTCGCGCCCCCGCACCTGCTGCCGTCATGCAGGCATTGCAGGAGGAGAGGGCCCGCAGCACTTCATCGCGCTGCCAGACCCCAGGACAGGTAGCGCCTGCAGTGAATTTTGCCTCCCAGGCTGGCTGGTGGCCCGCACCTGCCTCCCTGAGCCCCCTCCCTCGCCGCCGCCACCCCTCCGAACCTCGCCCACCACTCTGCCAGTGCAGGCCAGCTCTCCAGCTACCTCCTGACGGGCGGCTGCCTCCAGGAGGTCAACTGGTTCAAGCAGCAGTACAGCTCCTGGTTCATAGGAAACAGCGTGGCGCAGGGTGGGCGCCCCTGCTGCACGCTGCCAGACAGCCGCTGTTGCCGCTTGCTTGCTGCTGGCTGGCTGGCTGGCTGGCTGGCTGGCTGGCTGTGGTGGTGTCTGGTTTGTGCATGATGGTGTGCTGTGTGGGGGATTACGCTATCAGAGAAAGTGACGCTGCTGCATATGCGCTTCTTCGCTGCTTAGCGGCTTCTTACGGTGCTGCCACCCCTGCAGACGGCGGTCTTTACCTGGGCACACCCGTGGATCCTCTGCTGGTGCTGCTGCCGCTGCTTGAGAAGGCCAGGGCCGAGCAGAATGTTTTCCAGGACCTCGAGCAGATACTCAGGTGCGAGTTGGAAGGGACGGCAGCGCTAACTCGCACCTTGCGCAGCGGGTTGTCTGTCGGTTACCACGCTGAGCCTGCCGTGGCCAGCCCCGCCCTGGTCTGCAGCATGGCGGCCTCGCCGTCTGCCCACCTGCTGCTGCCGCTGCTGGGCAGCGGGGAACAGCTAGGGTGCCTGTGCGACGTGAAGTCGGCAGGGGGCCAGAACTATTTCAGGCTGAATGACGAGCGGGTGCGCTGTGCTGCCGCCCCAGCTGCTGTGCCTGCCTCCTGCCAGCTCCCTGGGTCGCCATGGGTTGCCTGCCTGCCTGCCTGCCAAGTGCCATGTGCGCCAGCTGTGTGCATGCCGATGGCTGGGCAACACGTCAGACCCTGCCAAGATGCGCCTTCGCTCTTCCTCCTGCTGCTGCACCCGCGATGGTGCAGGTGGTGGCGTGGCTGAGGCTGAAGGTTGACCAGGCCAAGGCCGCGATGCAGGCTTCCCCCGCAGCAGCCTTCAGGTTGGCCCCTGCTGTAGCTGTGCGCCCTTGTATTTGTCAGCTGCTGGCTCACAGGAGCGGCCTGCACTGGGCATGTCTTACAGACCCTGGTGTACACCATAGATGAGGGCTGCCATGCTACACCTCCTGTCCACGTGCCATCACCCTGCCCCACCCCCACGCTGTGCCTGCTGCGCAGCAACATGGATGACGTGTCGCTCACAGCGTACGCAGCAGGGCTGCTGGGCGAGTACCTGGCACAGCACTGGCAGGACAGGCTGGCTGCGGTACGTGGAGGAGAGAGAGTGCAGTGCTGCCGCAGGCCTGTGTGCGCTTCGCCCTATGCTCGCCTTGCCCTGCTGTGCGACCCACAGCAACTGTGGGCCCCCTGCCACGTGCGCATATGCCTGTTGCAGGCGCTCAACCTGCCAGAGGACTTGCCGCAGCGGGTGCACGCGGCGCCGCCCGCCGACTACGGCGCCCAGGTGCGGCCATTGGTCTTCTAATGCAGCGTCAGGTTTCGCTCCTGTCTTTCTTGCGCCTTCGTGCTGCTCCCTGCCTCCCGCTGCGTCCTCCGGCTCACCCGCCCACCACGCCTGCAGCCGTCTGAGAAAAAGGCAAGGATGGATCCCAAGGAGGCGGCCAAGGCCAAGGCGGCCGAGGCGCGGCAGGCGAACAAGGCGGCCAAGCTGGCCAAGGAGGCGTCTGGCATGCGCAAGCTGTCCAGCTTCTTCGCGGCAAGGCCCGCGGCGGCCAAGTGAGGGGCGCATGGTCGAGCATGGTGGGACATCCAGTTGTTCAGGGATGGCGTTTGCAACATGATTGCGGCACATTAGTGTATTGCAACAGATGAAAGGAGCAGCAGATCAAGCTCAGTGCAAACAGGGTGCAGTCAGAGGCAGAGGGCAGATGAAATCAGTGCACGCAAGTTTAGGGAAGGGCAGCAGGGGTAAGCGCGGGCGTGCCTCCAGCCCAGCCGGGCAACGGAACGGAGCCAGAAGCGGGCGTGCGGCTCATCCGCGCGCCGCCGCCGCCGCCGCCGCGCGGGGCAGCACCTCCAGCGCCACCTCCCTCTGGTTGGGCATCTCCTCCCGCTCCTCCACCAGGCTGAACCCCGCCCGCGTGCGGCTCCAGATCTGGAAGGGGCTCGGGTAGCAGCGGAAGATGCAGCCGCCGGTGGCGCCCTTGAAGTTCTGCAGCACAGGAGGAGGCAGGAGGCGGCGGGGCAAGGCGCAGCTGCCCATCGGGCGCGACCCAACTGCCCTGCCCTGGGGCACGACTGCCCAGCGCAACTCGTGCAAAACGGTGTGCACGAACGCATGCGCACCCACGCACCCACACCCACACACGCACAACACACGCATACGCACACACACGTGCACTCTGCACACAAACCCATGCACTCTGCACACACAGCCACCCACCCCTCGCACCTTGATGTAGTACGCGGTTGTGAACTGCGGCAGCAGGGACTTGGCGATCTTGCCGATGGCCGGGTAGAAGAAGGGCGGGTAGTAGCCTGCACGGGCGACACACACACACACACACACACACACACAATGTGAAGGCCAGGAGGTCGGCCGGCTGGGGGGCATGGGGCGAGCACGCGCCATCAATGGCAGACAGCAGACAGGCACCCCAGCAGGAAGACACACAGCGGCAACGCAGGAATGCTGCTGTGCCCAGCTGCGCAGACCCCGTGCTGGCACGCCTGCCGCCCAGAGCCACAAGTTCTCTGCTGCTGCTGCCACATCCGCCGCAGTGCAAGCGCGCACCTGTGCGGATGCGGTCCAGCTCGGCGTTGAAGGTGATGATGGGGGTGGCACCCTCCCTGCCGCCTGCCTGCGCCGCCAGGTACTCGTGCAGCGCCGCCACCTCCAGCATCTCCTGGGGGTTGAAGTGCGGGTAGCTGCGGGGAAGGGGCGGAGAGGAGGCGGGGAGCAGGCAGCCGGGCGTGAGATGGGAAGGCATGGATTCGTCACCCAGCGGGCGCAGCAACAGCGCCCGTGTGAGGCAGCCACGCCAGCCAGCCAGCCGGCCGCCTCCCCGCAGGGCCCATGCCTGCCCCAGCAGAGCAGCCGGCCTGGCTGCCTGCCAGTGCACCACAGGCCTGCTGCCATCTGGCGCCAGCCTGGCGCCAGCCAGCGCTTACGCCATGACCAGCAGCTGCTCCCGCCCGTCCAGCTGGTCGGCGGCGTTGATCTTGCCCACGGTGATGCCCATGTCCAGGAAGGGGTTCGGCTTCATCTGCGGCCAGCTCGAGCGCCACGTCAGCGGCACGCCAGCTCAGCATCTGAACCGCCCTCTGCTCTCTGCCAGCTGAAGCCGCCTCCACCCGAAGAGCAGCCGCAGGCGGTCAGGCAGCGAGTGACAGCCTGTCCCCTCACGCGTTGATCCAGAGCAGCAGCCTTGCCAGCTGCTCAGCCAGCCAGCCAGCCAGCCAGCCAGCCAGCCAGCCAGCCGCCGCAACAAGGCCAGCCAAAGGCGCCGGCGCACCAGGTAGCCAAACTTGAAGGCGGTGCCCTCAAACACAGGGTCTATGGTCCAAGAGCCGGCGTTGGGGTCCATGGCTTTTCCCTTGAGCGCCACTTTGAGCTCCTGGGGCCAGGGGGCAGCGAGAGAGGGAGAGGGAGGCTGAGGGAGCGGCGGGGCGGTGCGGATCGCGCTGGCTGGCAAGCAACGGCGGCGGTGCCGCGCTCGGGGCCTGCCCAGGCATTGGGGCGCACCGTGGGGTCTGGGAAGAAGATGCGAGTGGTGCCCGCCTGGTCCTTCCAGCCCCGCATGAACTGGCGCAGGTGCTGCAGGGAGTAGGTCATCTCGTTGGCGCCTGCGGCGGGGCGGGCGAGGCGGCGGGGCAGCACGAGTCGGGGCGCAAAGCACGGGCCCCCGGCCTGGCACCTGGCTGCTGGCACGCCCCCCAGTCCTGCTCCTCCGGCCAGGTAGCCAGCCCAGCCAGCCAGCCAGGCAGCCAGCCAGGCCCGGGTCTCACCCTCGGCGTCTCCCGCCACCGCCACCAGCGAGGCTGTGGGGAACTCCACCTCTACCAGGCTGGCGCCGTCGGCCAGCGCCGCCGCCGCCGCGCCCTGCGCCTGCCGCACTGCCTGGTTGTAGTCCCCGGGGAAGGGCTGCAGGTGGCGGGTGGCAGCAGCAGTTGGGTGTTGAGGCAGGCGCAGACAGGCCAAGAGCGATGCGCAGCGGAGCAGCGAGCGGCACCGGGCGGGGCACCAGAGTACAGCAGAGCACGAGGCAGTCACAGATTTACGTGCTGAGAACGGCAGGCAGGCTCACCGCCGCGCTCTGCGCCGCGCTCCCCGCCTGGCACGCGGTTTGGCGGCGCGTCGCCTGCCGCCGCTGGCGCCGCCGGTGCGGCGCCGCCGTCAGCTGCTGCCCCTGCTGCTGCTGCCGTTGACTCGGGGGCTGTGCTGCTGCGCTCCGGTGCGGCGATGTGCACGCCATTGCCGCCATTGCTGCCCGCACGCAAGGGAGATATGCGAGAGATAGGGCTTGCAAGCGAGCGAGAGCGAGGCCAACTGCGGCTCTGTGTAGCCCAAGCGCCTTCTCAGCGATCGCCGGTGTGCGAGTGCAAGCTGATCGATCAGGGGAAGCGCTTGGGGTGATGAGGTGGCGGGTGCGGGAGGCGGGTGCGGATGGCGGCGAGGCGAGCAACCTGGCTCCAGGCCTTTGCAGCCAGTTGGGCAGAAGCACGACTACAGATGTCAGAATCAAGGCGTATCAGCCAACATGGCCAACGTTTCAAACATCAGCCGCACTGTTTCAAGCAGAAAGGCGGCGGCGGCGGTTGCATGCGTGCACGTCAAGCGATGAATCAATCAATTCGACGGCGCCAGACGTGGGTGCGGCAGGCCTGGCAAAGGAGCACCAAGCTGTGGCGTGCACTTGGATCCAGACCGAACATCTTCATCAATGTGAGCCACAAACAACCTTGTCGGCGCCCGCGAGTCGTCCCGCGCCAGCCGGGCAGAGGGCGTGTATCAGAGGCTCCATCCTTTTCTCACCAGCATGCTGAGCATGAATACTCGCAGCAGATCGGGCAAGCTGCCCGCCAAAGTAGCCCGTTTGAGTCCCACCCGGGGCTCGTCAAGGCAACAGCAGCCGCAGGCCGAGCAGTCCATCCCCCTGCTCGAGTTGCTGAGGCAGCTGCCACCCCTGCGGCAGGCTCTGGTGGAGGGAGCAGGGGCCAGCGAGCAAGCCTGCTACGAGGCCACGCTCTCGATTGCCAGCCTCGACGTAATCCAGCAGCTTCACACGCGTGGTGATGGGGAGCAGGGAGCCTACGGCGGGGTGATTCAGGAGCTTTGGGACGCCCTGGCGGCGAAGCTGCCGGCGCCGCCCACACTGACCCACCACGGCTGGTGGCAAAGGAGGATACCTGAGCGCCTGGGCTTGGGCACCGACAGCCCCGGCGAGGAGCTGAAGGCCTACCAGGTGGCTCGCCTTTGCAGAGCGGTCGGCATGAAGAGCATGCCGCAAAGCAAGGCTGCGATGCTGGTGCGCGGGGCGGTGATGCTGACTACTGTAGCTGCTTGCATGCCCGTTGTGCTGCCCTGCCACGCCTCCAAGGTTTGCATGCACGCCAGCCCTTCACCCACCTCGCTCCAAGCCCTACCCATCCCCAATCCGCGCAGGAACGCCTGCGCCTGCCAGGGCCGCAGGTGCCACTGCGTGTGTTCATCCCCTTCTACCGGCACGCTCACCAGATGATGCCTTCTGGCAGGGCCAAGGCCACCTTCCGCCTCAGCGACCGCGACCTGGAGGTACCGGGCAGCTACTGTGAGGGAGTGCTGGGATGGCGGCTGCCCAGCCTCCTCCCCCGTCCCTGCAAAACAGAGACCATCAGGGTCCTGCGAAGGAAGGCGCCGCCCTGCCTAACATCACCCCACCAGCACTGCTGCCGCCCCCTGCAGGAGCTGCCAGTGGTGAAGAAGGCCAACCCTGCCTACCACGGCGGCGCCAAGATGCGGCTGTACCGCGTGGTGCAGGTACAGGCTGCTTGGGCAGATGCATCCCGCATGCCCGGGAGCAGGGCCGCGGCCGGCTGCCTGCCAGCCACCTCATCTGCCTGTTGCTGACACCGCCCTTGCGCAGCTGCGTGCGCTTGCGCTGCGCAAGTACGGCTCGGAGGAGGGCCTGCAGGCTGCGCGTGCCAAGAACGAGGAGCGAAGGCGCAAGGTGGGGGGACAGAGGGGGCATGGCAGGCTGTTGCCAAGGGCGAGTGTCGTGCCCCTCTTGCACGGAGCAAGGGTGCCCGCTGGTCTCCCGCCTGCATTTAGGGCCATGCACGCAGATGCCGCTCCCACCTGCGTGTGCACTGCCAAGGCCTCTGCTGGCGCGCCTGCTGAGTGGTTTGCCTGCTCCTGCCATGTGCACGCAGGCGGCGGCAACGCGCCAGGAGCGGGAGGAGCAGCAGGAGCAGGAGCGCCAGCAGCGGCAGCAGGAGCAGGAGCGCCAGCAGCGGCAGCAGGAGCTGGAGGAAGAGTGAGACCTGCTGCCCTCGCTTCCCCCTGGAACAGCGCTGTCGCCACCTGCTCCTGCTGCTCAGACCTCCTCCTCCAGCCCTCCTGCTGCTTCCTGGACCCTCGTGCCGCAGGCTGGCCGCGAACGACCTGCCGGCGCACTACAGCGAGCCCTACATCGCCCAGGGCTTTGTGCACGCAGCGCAGTCGCCTATGGATGAGGTGGTGGCTGAACTAGAGGCGATGCACTTCTGCCTCGAGCGAGTGCCGGGCTACAAATTCCACTATGGAGAGGAGCCCAACAGTGCGGAACGATTGGTTCGGCTGTGCTCAGCCGCTCTGGTCGCCGCCCCACCTGGCTTTTTCTGTGTGGCAGGCCGCTGCCACCTTACTGTGCCGTTGGCGGCTGGCCTTCGCTGCCTCAGCATCACCCGCCCTGTGCCCGGCCTGGCACCGTGCAGACTCCGCTGTGCGGCAGTGGGTGCGGAAGAAGCACTCCGCCAACCCCAGCCTGGAGGCATGCCTGGAGCAGGAGGGCATGCCGCCCAGGATGCAAGCCAAGGTGACCGAGCTGTGGGGAGCCTACGTGGCACGCCTGGAGGAGCTGTGGGCAGGGTGAGGTTCGCGGCTGGAGAGGCACAGCTCAGCACCTGGCAGCGATACAGCCTCAAGCTGGGTGCAAGGCCAGCTGAAGTGTCAATTGCGTGCCATGTCGCAGACCCCAAGCGCCTGATTGTGCTTCCCTGCTCCTCCCTGCCTCATTTACAGGCTGGAGCTTCATGGTCTGGAGCTGCAGGCAGCGGCGGCGTTACCACCTGTCGACGCCTTCCTGGACACGGGAGAGGGCACCCTGCAGGCTGCTGTGGAGGCTGCAGTGGTGGACCACTGGCGGCGTACTCACAACACCGCACCCAACAAGACAGCGGCTGTGGAGGAGTGGGTGCGTGCCCGGCAGGCGGCTGCAGAGGAGCTTGAGGCCTGCCTCGCTCGCCCCGAGCTGCCTGCAGTGCTGCATCCGGACGTGCGTGCCACCTGGGCGTCGCAGAGTCGCCTGCGAGCCCTGGAGGCAGAGTGAGTGGGAGCTGGCTGTGCCCACTGCTCTTGCTGGGCTTGTGCACGTGTTGCGACCTGGGCTGGCACTTGCCGCACAGCAAGAGATCAGTGCTGCCGCCGTGCCTGCCCTCTCTGACCGCACTCCCTGTCCGCAGGCTGGCGCAGGACGGCACCCAGCTCAGCGCCGCCATGCGCTCCAGCCCCACCGTACGCAGCTACCTGTCTGGCGCCGGCAACGCGCCTTCACTGGCCGAGCTGGCAGCCGCCTGCCGCGGCGACAGCCCTCGCTACCTGGAAGCCTTGCGGGCCCAGCTGGCCACCCAGGGGCTTTATGGAATGTACATGGTCTGCTTGGATGTGCGGGTGCCGCGGAGCCAGCACACCGCGCCGCTGCGCCTTCAAGACTTCGTGGCTCTCCACCCAGATGTGTTCGTCGTCGAGGATGGCCTTTACTATGGCGGCCGTGTGAGGCTGGCGGCAAGGCCTGCGGTGGCAGCACCTGAGCAGCAGGTGGCGGCCTGAGCCTGCAGGAGTGGGCGCACCTGAGGATGCTGCCTTGCTAGCAGCACGCTGGGAGCAGCGAGCTGTGATGGGGTGGGGCAGGGTTGCCGGCATGCACAGCGGGGCTGGCATAGAGGTAGATACATGGGTCTGTGACTCATGTAAGCAGAGACACGCTTTAAAGTACGTGTGGTGGCACTCAACAGCACACAGCTGGGACCAGGGAGCGAGGGCTGCGCTGCCGCGGCGGCAGCGGGGAGCCACCAGCCGCCAAGACCACAGCACGCAGCGCACCGGCGAACGCGGACATACCGCGTCAACGGCTGCCGTCCCTCGTCGCATCTTTTCCATCTGCTCATGGCACCACAGCACACGCTGCCCTCCCAGCACACGCCACAGCCCCCCATCCGAGTGAAAATGGCGCTCCCCCAGGCCTTTAACTTCTCGCTCCCAACGAGGACAGGTGTGCATGATTGCAGGTTGAGGCACACGCAGTGCGCCAGGCATCCGGGCAATTCTTCGCAGGTCACTCGAGCCACCGCCACGCTGCCGCGGCCAACTGCTGGCGCACGCCACCCCTCTCTCCCCTCTGGCCCCCCTGCTTCAGCAGCAAAGCAGTTCCGAAAAATCCTGACAGCCGGCGGCAAGGTTTCTGCACCACCCCACCCCAACACAGCGGGCTGGACAATCGGCACGCTTGCACCCGCGCCCTCCCTCGCCAACCCCTCCGCCGCCATGGCGCACCCTCTGAAGGGCGCGCTGCAGCTGATGACACCCACGCCGCCAAACACGGTGAATGTGTGTACTGCACAGCGTGAGGGCTGCGTTGGGCCTGGGGCGGGGTAAACCAATCTCGTGCTTGCCAACGCTGACGGGCGTGCCTCGCCGACCCGCCGGCGCCTCTCTCTGCTGGCCCTGCTGCCGCAGGTGGAGGCAGCCAAGGCCGCCTGCATCCTGCCTGCCTTCTCCTTTGATCTCACCCTGGACCTGGAGCTGAGCGCCGAAGAGGTGAGCTTGAGCGGGTGCTGTGCAGGGGCACGGAGCAGGCCAGCCGGCCCTTGCAACATACCCCCCCTCACTCCGCCGCTTTCTCTCCTTTTCTCATCACCGCTCCTTGGTGCTTTCCGGTGCAGGCGCAGAGCCTGGCACAGCCGTTTGCAGAGCCTGCATGCCTCAGCATGACCCGCACCCCCGCCAAATGCCTGCGGCGCCGCCTGGCCGCCACAGCGTGCGGCATGGGCATCAGGCTCAGCGGCCTGGCCACCTGCTTTGTTGCACCGTGTGTGGTGGTTAAATGTTGGGCATTCGGAATTCTATAACCTTGAGGGTCTAGATAGTGCATCCCTGTTTTAGAACTTCGCCCTGTGCACCTTGAACACGCCAGGCTCCCGATCGGAACACTTCCGGCCAATCGGGGCAATGCAGAGCCCCTTGAGCGCGCTGCTGGCGGAGGTGGAGGCCCGCTGCGACCCGACCGAATGCGCTTCTCTCGCAGCCAGTGCGGCAGAGGCTGTCGGGAAGGCAATCCAGGCCCCTGGGTTCGCCGATGTAGCTGCCGTGCTGCTGGCGCCAAACGTGCAGGTGCGCTTGTGTCTCCCGCCGCCGCCGCCCGCCGCCGCCGCCGCCGCCTCTGCCTTGTGTGCGTTGCCGTCCCGTGATGCCGGCCCGCGGCTGCCAGCAGTTGGTGTGCATATCTCTCTGTCCTGCGTGATCTCCCAGCATCATTGTTCCGCCTCCCCAACCGCCCACCAGGGCTGCGCCGCGGACGAGGAGCACGTGGCTTCCTGCAAGGCGCGCGGCACGGCAGCCTTTGGGCGCGGCCAGTACCGCCAGGCAGCGCTGCTCTTCTCGCAGGCGCTGCAGTACTGCGACGAGACCAGCGGCGGCGCCGGCGGGGCCCAGCTGGCGGCGCGGCTGTACTGCAACCGAGCGTTGTGCCTGAGCAAGGAGGGGCCGCCACGGCTGGAGGCCGCGCTGCACGACAGCAGCTGCGCCATCGCGTGCGACCGGGCCTTTGCCAAGGGCTGGTACCGCAGAGCCTGTACCGCCCGGGCCCTGGGCCGCGGCGCCAGCCCCGGCACGCTGCACGACGCGCGGCGGGCGCTGCAGCTGTTGCAGGAGCAGCAGGCAGACGCGGGCGAGGCTGCCGCGCTCGTGGCAGAGCTGGAGGCGGAGCAGGGGGCAGCGGCAGATGGCGGCGGCGCAGGCAGCAGCGCCGCCGCCGGCGCTGAGGGCGCGTTGGCCAATGGCGGCGCCGCCAACGGCCACGCATCCCCCAGTGAGATTGAGGAGGCGGCGGCGGCAGGAGGGGCAGCAGGCGGCGGCGCGCCAAATGCGGCCGAGGTGCAGCGGCTGGTGGCGGCGGCGGGCCCCGCGCTGGTTGTGCAGCAGACAGAGGATGCCGGGCGGGGCCTGTCGGCGGCTGAGGAGCTGCCTGCCGGGCGGGACGTGCTCGCAGAGCAGCCCTTTGCCTTTGCTCTGACCAAGCTCGGCCGCCGCTCGGTGGGTGGTTGCCGCTGCTGGCAGCGCCAGGCTGGCTCTCAGCTGCATGTGTGTGCGCGTATGCATGTGTTTGTGGACTCGACGTGTTTCATCGCTGCACTTGCAAAGCCAGCAGCTGCTCAGCAGTGCGGCTTGCCTATCCTGCCCGCAGGTCTGCTCCACATGCCTGGCGCCGCTGGCAGACGCGCCGGCTCCCTACTACTGCCGCCGCTGCCCCATGCCCGCCTACTGCACCCCGGCCTGCCGTGCCGCCGACCCTTTCCACCAGCCGGGCGGCCCCGAGTGCGGCCGCCCTTGGACCGTGCTGCTGCCGGCAGAGGCGGTGGCGGCGCTGCGGCTGGCGCGGCGGCTGCGCTTCGGCGGCGCCGGCTCGCCCGCTGCGCGGCACGTGGCGTCTCTGGGCACACACTTTGCAGAGCTGGACCCAACAGAGGTGGTGCAGCTGGCGGCACTGGCGGCAGTCACGCACGCCACCTGGCGGCAGGCAGTGGCAGAGGCTCGCGGTGGCGGCGCACCGGCGGAGGCTGGGCCAGGCTCGCCTGCGGCGGTGGAGGGCCAGGCAGCAGACGAGGAGGCCCGGGGGGGCGTCACGGCGGAGGGAGTGCTGGAGGCGCTGTGCCGCCTGCAGGTGCGAGGACGAGGGCAGCATCTCGCTACCGCTGCCAGGCTGGCACACGTGCGCTATGCCGTGTATCACGGGTATCGTGATTGATTAGAAGCACCAGCACCAGCGCCAGCACCAGCACCAGCCCTCCTCTGAGCCCACAGCACACCCTACCTGGCCCCTGCTCCCCTCCCCGCCCAGCAGATCAACGGTCTGGCGGTGGTCCCGCCCCAGCGCCGCGGCAGCGACGACCGGCTGGCGCTGGCGCTCTACCCGGTGGGTGCGCCCGCAGGCTGCTTGCTTGCCAGGCTGCTCGTGCCTGCCTGCTTTGCAGGGCGTGGTGCGGCCGGCTGCTGGCTGCTTGACACGTGCCCTCAGCGAGCGCCGCTGCGGCCCCTGTGTGCTGCAGGTGGGCAGCCTGATGAACCACAGCTGCCTGCCCAATGTGTCCACCCGCTTTGAGGTGAGGCCAAGCATGTGACCCGCCGCGTGTCTTGCGCTTGGGGGCTCACCGGTGCAGCAGGATTCTGGGCGGGAGCGCAGGGCCTGGTGCCTGATTTGCAGGCGGTACGCAGCGTAGCCTCTTCCTGGCAGGAAACGACTCCGCCCCTGTTGCTGGCGTGCTCTCCCTTTGTGCAGGGTGGAAAGCTGGTTGTGCGGACGGTGGAAGCTGTGCCCGCAGGAGAGCCCCTGCTGCACTGCTACGGGCCGCAGGCGGGCGAAATGACGGCGGCGCAGCGCGGGCTGCTGCTGCTGCAGCAGTACCACTTTGCCTGCCGCTGCAGCGCCTGCGCCGGGGCGGCCGCGGGGCAGCTGGCGGATGTGGCCCCGGCTGGGCTGAGGTGCCCCGCCGTGCCAGCCAGCCGCTGCGAGGGCGCCGTGCTGCCGACCCGCACCGTGCCCGCCGGCGTGCTGCACCGGTACCAGCTTCCGGCCGGCAGCGGCGCGTGCTGTGCCTGCGGCGCGCGCCTCGGCATCGAGCGGTGGCAGGAGCAGCTGCAGCCCGAGCTGCAGTCCGCGGCAGAGGCGCATGCTGCCGCGGCGGCGGTGCTTGAGCAGCAGGAGCGGCAACAGCAGGGCACAGCGCCGGCAGGCGGCGCGGCGGCGGTGCAGCAGGCGGTGCGCGCGCTGCGGCAGTGCCTGCGCCAGCGGCAGCAGCACCTGCACCCCCACAACCTGCTGCTGGGTGCCACACACGATGCGCTGGCGCACGCCTGGCACATCGCTGGCAATGACGAGGCGGCAGCGCAGCACCTGCGGCACAGCCTGGCAGTCCTGGAGCACAGCTACCCCCCTGGCAGCACCGCTGCGGCCTTCCAGCGCCGCCAGCTGGCCCAGGCGCTGCGCCTGGCCGCTGCTGCCGCGGCGGCGGCGGGGGGAAGCGGCGGCGCGGCAGCGGCAGAGGCGCTGCTTGCCGAGGCGCGGCAGGCGGAGGAGGCGGCAGATGCTGTGCTGGCCCTGCACTTCAATGGAGCAGTCTGAAACCAGTGTCCATCTTGGCAGCGGAGTGTAATCCCTTTGCATTTGCAGCTCACGAGCGAGGGGCCACCCCAGGCACACGGCGACGTCCTGCCTCGCCTGTACTGCGGGCTGCCTTGCGGCTCATGTCGGCCGGTTTCCGCGGCATATGCAAACATTCCGTCGTCACCTGATGTCTCATCCAGGCTCTCTGCCCCGCGCATGCACAAGCATCGCTTGATTTCTCTGCCAGTGTCGGAATTGCGTATGGGAGCGCCGACACGGATGTCTAGCAGCATCTGGGGGACCTCCCCAATATGCAGCAGGCCGCTGTCGCTGCCGGGAGGTGAGGTCGCAAGGCGGAGTGATCAAAACGCAGTCTTGTGTGTTACCCGACCCGCCTTTCGCCCTCGCCGCCGCCTGCCTGTCTCTGCTGAAGCGGGCAAGGCACATCTGCCGCCGCACCAGGGACCCTTGCCGCCGAGCCCTCGGGGCGGGTATGCGAAGCGCCGTGCCATGGCAGCTGCAGGACCGCACCAGGGCGCCGGCTCGCACCAGGCTGCCAGCCCTGACGTTCAGGAGCTGAGGCGGTCTCTGGACCAGCAGCGGGCCCAGCTGGAGATGCCTGACCCCTGGGGCGTGTCCCCCTCTGCCCTGGCAGCCAAACAGGGCACCAGCGATGCGGCCGGCGGCCGCGCGCCGCCGCGTCACCACAGGCGGCACACCCGGCCGCAGCAGCACGCCGGCTACGCTGGCGCGGTGCCGGCCTCGGCGGGCTGGACTCAGCAGGCGCACGCGTCGTCGCCCGCAGCGCGTGCCCAGGCCGCTGCTGCGGCAGCTGCCGCGGCCGCAAAGCAGGCCGAGGCCGCAGCGGCAGCTGCGCGTGCCGCGGCCGCGGATGCCGCGCAGGAGGAGGAGGAGCAGCGCCAGCTTAAGGCGGCGCCCTCGGAGTGGCAGGCCCAGCTGGTGGAGCAGCGCCTGCAGCTGCTGGAGGCGCGAGCCCAGCTGTGTGAGCGAGAGGAGGTTGTGCAGCAGCTGCAGAAGCGCTTGGCCGCGGTCGAGGCGGCAATTGCGGATGCATTGGAGGCCAAGCAGCAGCAGCAAGGGGAGCTGTTCGAGCTTCACATGGATCTGGAGGAACGGGCGGCAGAGGTGCAGCGCCTGCAGGAGGAGGCAGCGGCGGCGGCGCAGGTGCAGGAGGCAGCAGCCGCGGCGGCGGCCGAGGATGTGGCTCTTCTGGAAGAGGTGTGCAGGCGTGGGGCATGCGGGCATGCCTTTGATTTGGGCTCGGTTCATACCCAGCACTTCCATCCAGCCAGGCAAAGTTGCGTGTTGCTGCTGCTGGAGTCCTGCGCAAGAGCAGCGCGACATGCAGAGTTGCCGCTGAGTCGCCGGCTGATTGCCCTCCTCTTTCTTCCCCTGCCGCCTGCAGGAGCTCAAGGAGAAGCGCGTGCTGATCGAGTGCCTGCAGGCCGACCTTGCGGCGGCTTCTGCTCGCCAGTCGCAGGCTGGAGCTGGTGGCGACGGTGATGGTGCCCTGGAGGCGGCGCCGGCCCCGCCGCTGTTCACCACCTTTGGGCCCACGCTGATGGGCAAGACCGTCAGGTGTGCCGCCAAAAATGCACCTCTTCCGCTTCTACTCTCCTCCCAAATATGTGAGATTGCCTGCCGCCTGCTGTTTGCCCTCTCCCCCGCTGCTGCCATGTGCGCAGGGTGTGGTGGTCGGAGCGGCAGGCCTGGGTGCCTGGGCGCGTGGTCCACGTGATCATGCCCGACAGGGTGCAGACGGTGGAGTGCCGCGGCGGGGTGGGACCCCGCATGATGCTGCAGAGGTTCCGGCTGGAGCGCGTGAGTTGCGCCAGCGGCGCTTGCAGCGGCACCTTGTGCTGGCCGCTGCCGCATGCATGCTTTGCTGCTGCTCTGTGTGGTGGCTGCATCGCTGTGCAGCTAGCCTTATACGCCTGCCGCCTGCCCTGCGCCACCGCAGGAGCGCTTCCAGGTGCAGGTGGCCGAGGGGCGGTGGGTGCAGTACGAGAATGGCAGGCAGGTGCCGCCAGAGCGGACCGAGCAGTAGATGGCATGTGGCGTAGTGCTGCTGCCCGTCGTGTGCAGCATTTTGTAATGCAAGAGCGATGAACGCTAGTGTTGCCGACGGCGGTGCCTGGCAGGGTACCTAGGGTTTGCTTGTGCACGTCGGCGGAGCCGCCCGTCCACTTCCTGGATGTGTTAATGGCCAAGGCAGGCGGAATTCCGCCTCGAAAACGAAAAGTCGAAGTCCGCCAGGCACCAAGGGACGGCAGGAAAGGCAACCAAGAACCTCCCACACACGTTCCTGCCCTCCAAGTGCCAAGGCAGCCATGATCAGTGTTTCAGCGCACCTGCTCCCTTGCAACACCTTGCAACACCCCCGATCAAGGCGATGGGGGATGCGCGGTCAGCAGCCAAGCAGACGGGCCCATTCAGTCGCGGCGATCAAGTCTGGCTCCCCGCCAGCGGAGGATGAGGGCGGCGGCGCAGCAGGCGGCAAGGGCGGCGGCGGGAGCGGCGCCGGTGGCCTCCTGCTGGCGCCGCTGCAGGCACTGGAGCGCAGCCTGGACCCCTCCACCCACCTGCTGGCGGACCTGTGCGGCCCGCAGTTCGCAGCAGCGTCCTGTCTTGTGGAGCACTTGCAGTATTTGGCAGAGGCAGAGCGAGCCAGGAAACCCCCAGCAGAAGCTCGGAAATGGGCATGGAGGACGGACAGCAGCGGCCCTGCAGCCGTCAGCATCCCACCACCCTTGCTGTGGCACACCATCAGCAAGTCATTGTACTGCACTGCCCTGGCTTGCCAAGCGCAGCACGGGTTTGCCCCCTCCCGCCACGCGGAACTGGCAGCAGCGGTCGGAGCCCAGCTTGTGGACTGCAGGGAGCTGTGTAGGGTGCGCTGAGGGCAGTTGCCATCAGAGCAGGTGGCATGGTGCAGCACGGCGGTCACCGTGATGTATGCGTAACATGGTCATTTCTCCCTCTCTTTTTTCAGGCATACAGTTCAGAGGCTGCCGAGAACGGCGATGCTGCCACGGCGTTGAGAGTGATGTTAGGCAGCACGTTGGAGGGCGCCGCTGCTGCGCTGCCAGCGCTCTTTGATCGCACAAAGCTCAGATCAGCCCTATTGCTGGCGAGTCTACTGGGGCGCTGCTGCGAGCTGACCAGCATCCTGGCACCTGTCAGCATTCAAGCTATTGGGCTTGAGTTAGGCTACATCGATGTTGTGCAAGGCAGCGCAGAATCTGCTGGCAAGAGGAACCCAAAAATGCCCATTCTTTCAAAAGGCGCGCGCACTTTCGTGCCATGTTCTGCCTGATCAAATGCCGGGTCGGCGTTTGTCACACTATAGCGCATGGTGCCAGTCACCCGACCCCGCTTCTCCCTGCAGGCTTCTTGTTCGGCGCAGCAAACTACGGGGTGCTGCCCATGTTGCAGCTGACAGCTTCCATGAGAACGCTAGACAGATGGCCTGAGGTCGCTGCGCACGCCGGGGCATCATGTGCCTTTGACACCCGGAGAAGGTTTATTGCTGGATGCTTAGGTGTAGGTACATGTTGTGATTGCCGGGATGACGAGCGCGCTGCTAACTTGAAGTTGCTATGCATTGCTTGAACGTTGCGGCAGAAGCTGGCTTCCTCAACCCACGCCCAAGGGCGTATTCTTTCTTTCTTTCTTTCTTTCTTTCTTTCTTTCTTTCTTTCTTTCTTTCTTTCTTTCTTTCTTTCTTTCTTTCTTTCTTTCTTTCTTTCTTTCTTTCTTTCTTTCTTTCTTTCTTTCTTTCTTTCTTTCTTTCTTTCTTTCTTTCTTTCTTTCTTTCTTTCTTTCTTTCTTTCTTTCTTTCGAAGGAAGCCACCATCACCCATGTGTAGCTGTTTCAAACAAGGTTTATGTTGTTTGCAGCTCATGTTGTTAAATTATTGCGCACGCTGGATGACAACGCACTTCTGGTGCCGCACCTTGGCCAAGAGAGATTGGACATGTATAGGTGAGCAAGTTGCTTCGTTGCTGCCACTTGCTGCGACAAGCATGTTGTGCTCCATTATGCTTCAAATTGCCAATGCAGTGTAGTTGCTGAGTTTTACAAGTGCTTGCAAGCGGAGCGGAGAGCAGCTAATATCCTGCCTGCCGGGAAATCCCGCACAGAACGGTTGGATGAATTTAGGGTTTTTAGGGTTAGGGTTAGGGTCGTGGCAGCCAAGCCTGGCAGCCAAGCAGGCAGCGCTGGCAGCAGCGCTGCAGTTGCTTCATGCGTCCGAGCCGCAGGAGCAGCAGCCCCTGTTTGAGCTGCTGCGTAGGGTGGAGCTACTGTGTGGAGAGACAGAGGTGGCAGTTGCCCTCGGCGATGCTGACTGGGATGCTGTGCTGGCAGCCATGCTGGCGCCCAGCTGGCGGCGCAATGCTGATGTGGTAGCTGCGGCGCTGACTGAGATGCTGACTTCGCATGGTCCCCTGCTGGCAGCAGCCACCAGGAGGTTGCAATGGGACACGCTGCTGCAGCTGGCAGTCGACGCCATTGCCAGCACCACCCATCAGACACGGCAGGATGCTGTCGCAGAGTGGTCGCCGGTGGCGTCGGGGCAGCCCCCAGCGCCACCACTGTCGCCAGCCCTGCAGCTGGCCCTGATGGCTATGCACCACATTCCCACAGAGCAGCAGCAGGAGGCGGCTGGCTCAGTGCTTTCAGCCCTTGCCAATCTGGGCAGGACAGCAGAGGTGATGGGATGGGCCTTGCTCATGATTAGCGGGGCATCTCCGAGCTCAGTCAACCTGTCATGCCTAATGATCATCCCTGTTGCAGGTGCTGCAGGCTATGCAACTGTTCCAAGCAGCGTCCTGCGGCACCTACAGCCCAAGAGCCGAGCACATGTCGTCCGCGCTTGTCAGCATGCGGAACGGGCCGCTATGGGATGCCAGCCTGGCGACACCAGTCGAGCAGGAGCAGCAGCCGCGGAAAGACCGGCCGAAAGCCCTCGCCCGGCGCAACATGTGCGCCGCTCTGCTGCATGCCTGTCAGCAGGAGTTTGCTGGGCCATGTGGCGCCAGCGCTGCAGGCGGCAACCAGCCCGCGGGCGGCGTGCAGTGGGCAACCCATCTGAGCGTGCCGGCCCAGCTTGTCCTCCTGAGAGTGCTTCGCCAGCTGGGCAATGCTGACGACTTTGCACTCCTGTGCCTCCTCGTGGACTGGCGGCAGGCGCCGCAGGTGGGGTGACGTTGTGTGTCTGAGCCTTGCATGATGTGGCCCTGGATACGTTTGTCCAGCACGTGCCCATGCATAATGCACCAGCACCACCGCCTGGCTTTGCCTGATCAGCCCCTGTCATTCCTGCATGGCATGCAGGAAGAGGCCGCTGCCGCTCACGACGCTGCCGTTGCCCACTCGTTCCAGCAGCAGCAGGCTGTGGGGCTGCCTGACCCTGGAGAGGCTGGGAACGCAGGCCCCACTTGGCTGTTGCTGGCGACTGCCGCGCTGGGATGCCACAGTTCCGGCCTGGCAGCCCCGCTGTGCACGAGGCGCTTGCTGCTGCCAGGGCACATGCCGGCAACTTTGTGACAGGTGGGCCTGTGCTACCAGCCTAGTCGACTGTTCGCTCACTCCACCAGTAGTCGCTGCCTCACTACTGCTGCTCGCATAAAATTATTTCAATACTGACACCTCAACCCATCCCTCTGTATGCCCCGCTGCAGGCTGGCAAGGCCTGCGTGACATGCGTGCCGAATGGAAGGTGGCTCCCAGCCAGTGTTTCTGAAAGCTGGCGAAATCGCCAAATGCTGGCGAAATCGGGCCAAAAAACGGCTCTGGCTGGG